TTCCATTCAAGTTAAACACAATACAATGAAGTTATTTTTTTCCTTAGTCTACGTAAGGCACTCAACTCTCATATTCTCTCTTTTTGAGACTTTGTTCATATACACAGCTTCTGCTTCATACTATTTCAAACAAGCCAGTTGCAAGAAGGAAGTTCTAACTCCAAAGTAGGAAAAAACAGAAACCTGAGGAAAAAGTACTAGAAAAACTCATTAGACACAGAAGAAAGTGATTTTTGCTACCTGTCATTGCCTGCCTGAATAAGATGCTATCAAATTACCCTAGAACTTAAATAACTCATTTTCTTCAGTTTTGAAAGTAAGCAAATAATAGAACCAACACAGCTTTTGCCGGAATAATGAAATCATTGTTATCGCTCATCCAGAAGAGCCTCAAAGTGCCTTAAAAAAAATCCCCAACCAAATTAAGCCCCCTCCCCACACAATATTTTATACATGAAGGCTGAAAACCAAAAGGCAGTTACTTGTGTCAGCTGCTTAACAGCTCAGCATTCACTGCAGTCTTGCCATGTACACACCCATGCACTAAACAGAAAAGAATGTGAGCAAAATGAGTCAATCCAAACCAGAAGCTGAGCAGACCCCCTTGTTTTCTCTGAAGTGATACTTCATTCAGAAAAAGAGCACACTAAATTTAGCTATTACACTGATGTCTGCAGGATAACAGTACAGACTAGCAATTATGTTTGATAAGAACAGAAGGAAAACCAAATGGGAGACAACTTGCACTCCTTAGGACTGGGCTGTATCAATGCAGCCAAAAAAATAAATCCAATAACTATTCTTGCAAACAGCAAAATCTATGGGAAATAACAATCAAAAAAAATCCCCTCAAAGAAACTAAATCCGCACCTATTCACACAATATGCTTATTTTAATCCCTTTTTCCCAAGTCACAACAGCTGAGGCTGTTTTAGGGAGTCGAGAGATCTGCCTGGACAGTCTAGAAATTTCTCTTTGCAAGTCTGCTTAAGAAACAGCTGTGACTCAAAGCTGTACCTTAAGAGGAAGCTGACTATTACATTCCTCATCACCCACAACTCTAGAAGACTGAAGACATTTTTCAAGAGACTATTCTCGCTAAGCTACATGAAAATCTATATGAAATTAAAAAAAATTAAAAATCCATGTAGTCTTGAGTACAACTTCCTGTAAAGGTCAATCCTCTAGCTATCAGTAGTAAAGAAATGTGCAAACAGTTGTGTGGTTTCAGGAAGAGAGAAGAGTTTCGTACCCCAGGAATGCAGTTTTCTTACAGAAAGAAAAAACACAGTTATTTTGGCCTTTTTTTTCTGATAATGAAGACAACAAATTCCTGATTCTGACAAATCCAAGCTTGGGCACTGCTGAAATTCTCTTGTAATAAACCAACTTGGATTCATTTAATGTTTCTTTATTAAGAACAATAATGTGTTGAAAAGGTCTTTTCCCGGCACCACATCAAGCATTCTGTTTCACAAATCTGAACTGGAATCAGGTTCCTTTGGAAATTATATTGGTACCCAAAGATCAGAGCTATATTTTTATTAGGGAAATAGGTACTTTCCAGTCTTGTCAAGTGACAGGGTGACACAACTGTCAAGTAGGACAATTAAGAGGGAACACCTCTTCAGTTACTGTTTCTACTCTCAGAGGTTGCCAAGAATGTAGAAAAAGTATGAAATTGTGGTAAAAGGCATTAAAACTAACAACACACACACACTACAAAACAGAAGGCAGGTTTTGATATTGTGGTCAGGAAGTTCTTTGGAAAGAATACTGAACCAAAAGCCTAGTTCAATTGAATTCAAACCCCAGTTAAGTTTCAATTTTGAGATTTCTTCCATGAAGAGTAAGAAGTAACAATGAATTAGTTCCAACCATTTCCACTTATTCTGCCCTTTGAAAGGAAAACTAGCAAGCACAGGACTTTATGCATAAATGCAAGCTTGATGAACAGTAAGTCAAAAGAAAAATTCTCTTCCTGTTCATAGCACGTGTGGATTCCAGTACTGGCACACATTCAGGAACATTCAGGACACTGATGTAGAACAAATTGAGTCCCACAACTGATCTAAAACATGAGGGGGCTAAATTGACACTTTAAAGAGAAAAAATAAACTCAATGAAAACTTTATGATTTATTTTCCTTTGCAATCTAAACTGATTTGTATATCCTAGCATATATCCTATCTATTGCTTTAATCCTGTGACACACCTCTTGAACAGAGATCCACAGCTACAGCATTCCCATTTCACCAAAGTATTTTGGAACCTAAGTTTTTCGGTATTATTTCTCTGACAAACCCCAGTGGTACACAGACTTTTCCTTCAAACCTTTATTTAATCTCAAGTAAGTATCTCAAAGTTTTCAGTGTACATCTCTCAATCCAATTCAGAACTTTGCAGGGTTTATTCCTTTAAGTAGTAATCTGACAGCGGATTCTTGGCATTAGCGCACACCTGCCTTTGCCCATTTTGACATAAGTTATTTCCTTCATCACATCTTGGTTCTCCTTCTACCAACTGTAGATTTTAAATGTTCTTATTCAACAAATTTGCTCATTCTTACTTTAAAATACAGAAATGTGTGTTGCTAATTCTTTCAAAATTGTTATACAGAACTGAATTACTGAGAATGAAAGAATAATGCATCATAAAAACTTTTCCTTTTTTCCTAGTCATAGCCTAAATGAGCCAGCTTTTCTGCAGCTGGTTCTCTGAAATAGGATATTTCTCCCTGGTGCAGATAAACAAATCAAATGGAATTTTCCAGAATGACCATACGCCGGGAGCATTTGCGTTTAGCTTCCATTATTAACAAAACACCCCCTCCAACAAGTAATCATTTAAATAAAAAATAAACATTAATCAAATGTTTTAAAAATAGGGCGGACTACTCCGTGCATAAGGAATTGGCTGGATGGATGCAGCCAGACAGTTGTGGTCAATGGCTCTATGCCCAGGTCAAGGCCTGTGACAAGTGGTGTCCCTCAGGATTCTGCCTTGGGCCCAGTGCTCTTCAGTATCTTTATCAATGACATAAAGAGTGAGATCAAGTGCTCCCTCAGCACAGTTGTGGGTGACACGAAGCTGAGCAGTGCAGTTGACACAACAGAAGGATGGGGAGCCTGGACAAGCTTGAGAAGTGGGCCCATGAGAACCTCATGATGTTCAAGAAGTCCAAGTGTGAGGTGCTGCAGAGGACATGAATGAAAAGCTGATCATGACTCAATGTGCTCTGCAATGGCTGCACAGAAGGCCAACTCCATCCTGGGATGCATCAAAAACAGCATGGTCAGCAAGGAGGGAGAAGATTTTGCCCCTCTCCTCTGCCTTTGTGAGATCCTACATCCAGCTCTGGGGTCCTCAGCACTAGAAAGGCATGGACTTGTTAGAGCAGGTCTGGAGGGAAGCCACGAACATAATCACATGGTTGGAGAATCTCTTCTATGCAAATATGCTGAGATAGCCAGGTTTCTTCATCCTGGAGAAAAGAAGGCTCCAGGGAGACCTCACTGGGGCCTTCCAGTACTTAAAGAGGGCATATATAAAAGAAGAAAAGCAACTATTTACACAGGCAGACAATGATAGGACAAGGGTGAACGATTTTTAAACCGGAAGAGGAAAGATTCACATCAGATGTCGGGAATAAATTCTTTACTCAGAGGGTGGTGAGGCACTGAACAGGTTGCCCAGCAAAGCTGTGGATATCCCATACCTGGAAGTGTTCCAGTGAAGCAGATATTTCAAAGTTTACTTTACTTTTGTTCCAGAGCTGCAGCAGAGCCCTAGGGGCCAAAAGGCAGCTTGTTTCCTCTTTAATCAACTGGTGTGGCTGCGAGAAGTGAGAGAGAAGACTTCTTCTTACAAACAGTCTCACTTACGTACCTAATAGGACTTTCAAAAGATTCGAGAAAGTTATCCTGTGTATTCCAAGTAATTTGGGAAACAAGAAAAAAAGATATACACAAACCAATCCATCCCAACAGGGTCAGAGTGAAGTGGGTTAAATGCAAATTCAGTTTAAATTAAATAAGGAAGTCTCAGTGACTTCAGTATGATTCCATTCCTCCTCCACATACACACACTCCCCCCTCAGTAAAGCCAATTAAGTAGGAACCAAGCCTTTCTTCCTACCACATCAGTAAGGCAATGGTGCTATTAGTTCCAGCAAAGCTCCCAAATACTCTCCTCACAGACTGTACTGGTCAACAAACAATTAGATCACTCCTGAATTAAAGAAATACCCAGAAGCTACTTTGCATAAGCACTATTTTCTTTCAAAGCACAATGGAAAGTGGCACATTCTGTATTTACAAGAGCTGTAATCTGCTTTTGAGAACACGCAGGATCACTCTCGAGGAGAAAAGGTAACACAGAAGGAATCGTGTCTTGCAGAATACACCATCTAAGGAGCCTTTCTGCTGTGCCTTTTGCAGTCAGATATGTCTGTCTCGTATTGGCCTCATAAGCCACCAGCGTGCCTGTAACAAATGTGGATAGAGCCTTCCCAAATCTTCGTTCGCGAAGCCCAGCCATGATGAATCTACTTTAAACATGGGTTTATTTTAAAGATCTTCAGCTTTCACCTGTGGGCTATTTCAAAACCCAGTGAATCAGCAAATAGCTCCTGTTTATTGGAAAGCTTCCTTCTTTAGGACACCTTTATCATTACTCAGTAGTTTGCTGAAATTGTGAAAAAACTGCACCATCAGTCTTCGCTATAGGCAACTGTCCACAGGTGTACAGAATCAAGACTGTGAAGTATTCAGGATGTAAATTTAAATTTTGATATACAGACCTCTAATAAATCAAATATTCTGCAGACTACAGAAAATTTAGATAGCAGCCATATAAGAGAGCTTCTTACAAGTATTTACAATATGCTTAGCATCATGTCATGAGCTTAGGTGTGGTTTTTTCCTTTGTCCTCTTCCAGATACTCATGGCTTTTAAAGCAGCTCAACCAGGTGTTTAAAGGAAATCAGACACTACACAGGTTAAACAACATGGTTCTATTAAAAACTATCTTTAACCATGGCACTCAGTGACAGCAATACAATACTTTTTTTCCACAAAGCAACTAATATAAAAATATGCCATAAAATCATCTGTAGACTAGTATGCTAGTATACATACATATAATCATAACATTCTTTTATAAACTCTTTCCTGAGATACCTTGGGTGGTTTGATTTTCTCATATTACTGGATGCATCATCTTTATAATTCATCTAAAACAACTGTGAAATATTTTCTATGTGCAGGACACTCAGTAACATGTAAAAAGTAGTATGTAAATATATGGCAAAGAAACAGCTCTTAGAAATTATGCGCTTTTTTACTCTGATATATTTTTTAACATTTGGCTCCTTGGGAGACGGAAGGGAGGAGCATGAAAAACCTGAAATTAGAGCTATGAATTGACAAAAAGCAGGAAAGCATTCAGGAATGTTAGGAGTTGGAATATAATATAAATGACACAAAGAGAAAGCCATAATTCACATTGGCTATGTATTGTCTTATAAAGCAACTGGACATATCTTAATTCACAGTATAATAAATATTTTTACTAATCTGTTTTGGAAGAGCAAATGTCTTTTAGGGTTTCAAGCTCCTGTATAAGTTTCTTGTTCTGAACTTCTAGCACTGCAACACGACTCTCCAGACATTTTATGTATTCTTTCTTCCGACGTCGACATTCTTTAGCAGCTTCCCTGCAAAAAGCAGAAGTAAAAAGTGCAAACAAAAAAGCCATTTGCATGCCATTAGAAAGCTCAGCAGAGTATGGAGACTATGACAGAATTCCAAATTTTGGAATATCTCCCAAATCAGTCTGACAACACTAAGCAAAACTGGGTTCCACAAGGGCCTCAAGTGTCTCTTTCTCAAGTTCATATGGCAATCTGTAGAATTGCTTCCTCTCATGCCTTGATTAAAGTTCATAATAAACGAGGTCCAAATGAAAGACAGTTATTCTGCTTTATGACAATAAAGATCTTTGAGGGCCTTGAGTTCCTCAATGAGAGTCTTGTTTTGGTTTTCAAGCACAGCCACACGATTTTCAAGACATTTGACATATTCTTTCTTCTTTCTGCGACATTCTCTGGCAGCTTCCCTGGAACCAATACAAGGCAAATGACTACAGGAACAGCCACAATATGGCAAAGACTGGATAAATGCAATTACCTGCAATCCCTGTGGTTTCACAATAACAACAACAACAACCAACTGCTGGATTGCACAAACAGAACATAAGGTAACAGCCAAAAGCAATAACATAGTTAAAATACAATTCAAAACAACTAGAACTTGAAACTAATTCAGCATCACCAAATCTGAAGATGGAACTAATACACAGAAGAACTGAGAAAAATAGTGAGTAAATGATAATGTATTGACTTGAATTGTACTAAACATTAGGATGGAAAGCAGCATTTCTTCTTCCAGTCACATTCCATTTTGTGTGTTTATCGGGAGCATTGTCTTCTGCCATCAAAATCTTAAAACCAAACCCAAAGAATTTACTTTCAGAAAACACAAGCATAACACTACTCTCTTCAGATAAAAAGCTAGATGCCAAGCTCACTAAGTGCTCTAAGTTTTTACCTTAAGGTAAGAACATACAGTAAAATTTTAGCCTTAACAAATACAATCAATTAGCATTTTAGAACTGGCCATCTGAGCACATTCACATGGGTCTGTATTTTTTGTTAGTGGCATATGATAGCCTGAAGCCATTCTCATAGTTCTGCTCAGAAGTCTGTTATATTGAAGCTAAACACTTTAAATAGTGTTTTCAGAGCATGTGACTAAACAAGCATTCAATTCCAGAAGAAATATCAGAAGTACTGGGAGTCCACTCCTTTACCACCTTGGAACATAATAAACTGTCAAACCATGAGAGTAATGTTTCAGCAAGTTATGAGCTATAGCATAGGCACTAGTTTTAAAACTGAAGAGAGGAGAAACAAAAGGAAGCGCAGCAATGCAGTGATTCTCATGAGTAATTTAAAATAAAGGACAGGCATGAGAGCAAAGCAATACCATTAATTCAATCATAAGGCAAGTGGTTAGTCAGTGTATTAGAGATCTGCACAGCAGAATATTTCTTCTACTAATCTGCCAATGATAGAGATGGCTACACATTTAAAAAAAGACAGACTCCCTTAAGAATAGAAAGAAGAATGCACAGAGAAAGACTGATATTTACAACATTCAGTCAAGTCCATGCCAACTAATTAAAAAATATACAGCCAGCTCACACAATATGCCTCACAAAATGACAGGGGCACTGCAAAGTAACTTATCCCAGTAGTCAAGTATTTAGGAAAGTCTATAATTATCATTCCATCCTAGAATAAGTCCTCTTCATAGCATCATTAATGGACAGCTGCTAATGAGGTCCTCAGATATTTTCCTAACCAATTCTTTGCTGGGATGTTTCAAAATGAAAAAGCCCATCCTGTTCACTTTACTGTCAGAAGTAGGGAGGACGGGAATTAAAATTCAACAAAAAGTATAACTCCAGATCATCACAAAAATTATCTGATACTTATTTCTGCATTACCATACTATTTTCAAACTAAAAATCCATGGGGACACAGTCAACTCTGGCTTTCCAGAGTCAACAGCCAGTACTCTATGCTGTAAGGACGTGGGATGACTGACAAAGAATTTTCTGCCTTCCCTTCATCAATTACAAGCAGTGCTCATGACCTTAAGAAGAAAATTTCATTAGAACGTTTTGGGGTTTTTTTTGAACCTGATTATGAATTGTTGTATAGTCTTACCTATTTTTCAAAAGTCTCAGCTCTCTCTTGCGTGTTGCCTCTTCTGCCATTTGCTGAGGACTATGCAAAGTCCCTGGTGAGGCTGCCATGACCACTCCCTGAGGTAAGGTGGTAGTGGGAGTTCGAATCTGGTAAGCTGGCATGTCTCCAGTGGCAGCTATATAAAAGAAACATATTTTAAACTTTATGGCAAAAAATAACTATGCATATGTTCTCTCTGAAAATAACAGATTTCTGTCAATGAGTTATCTGGGATCCCTGATCCATAGAATATTTCCCAGGTCTGTAATGTCACAAATATATTTTTTACCTTAATAATGCTTATTTCCACACTGTAAAATATTTAAATTGCTCTAGCATTGTGTCCCCACCAGCCAGCCAGACTGAAGCCTGTGAAAACTTCCACATGGCTCTCTTCAGACAACACGGGGAAAGCTGTTTGAGAAACAGTTTAAGCATCCACACTTATTTCCTGTTTGCACAATCCCACAAAAAGATGGCCCTGCTGTTGCAGCCACTGAGGTTTATATGCTACCCTGTTCTCTAACAGGTTTCAGGAGTCAACCTGCTTCAGTAGACAACTTTCTCCTCCTTCCTTGTGATAGTCACAGTACCAGCCTTACACTCCTTCCTTCTCTTACAACAGCAGTTTGGCAACCCTTGGAAAATCAGTGAGAGCTGCAGTTGCTAAAATGAACAGGAACAGACAGGCGTTCGTGAGGACAGGAGTGTGATGACCACCGATAGGATGCTGTGGCATTAGCAAGAGGAGGTGGCAGTGGTTGCACAGGAAGGGGTGTAGCTGTACAGTAAGTCAGAGGGCAAAAGTTCAGATTCATCTCCTGAGCCTACCAGTTTTGAGCTCTCCCCAAGCTAAATGCTGATCTGACACGTTACTTGAAACTGATACCTTTCTGATAGCCTCACTTCATTTCTGTATTTCTGATGTACTTTGTTGCTACTTGATGTACCTCAACTTTAAAACACTGTGAAAGTCCTAAGCACTTGTGACTCGTCTGACGTAGAAAAAAAGAATCAAACAAAAAATGTATCCCTCTTCAAATTCTAAGCAAGTACTTATCTGTTCCTCTTTATAAATATTTTATATTATTACAGAACAGAACTTCAAATTTTCTCATTAAAACAGCAGAACATAAAAGATGACATTTCAAAGGCTATTATGTTACACTTAATTTATACTTTAATTCTTCAAAGCAATATTCAAATAATGGAAAAACTTGTGTGTCATGGTTTAATCCCAGCCTGCAACTAAGCACCACACAACCACTCACTCACCCCACCCACCACCCCCCCTCTGATGGGATGGGGTAACAAAACTCATAGTTGAGATGGGAACAATTTAATAATGGAAATAAAATAATAAATGTAAAGAAAGGAGAATAACTAAAAGAAAGAGAAATAAAACCCAAGAAAAACAAGTGATGCAAATGAAAAGCAATTGCTCACCACCCACCGATGCCCTGACTGTTGCCAAGCAGCAGTCCCTGGCCAGCTTTTCCTACAGTTTATGTGCTGAACATGATGCCTTATGGTATGGAATATCCCTTTGGCTAGTTGGGGTCACCTGTCCTGGCTGTGATCTCTCCCAGCTTCTTGTGCACCCCCAGCCTACTTGCTGGGAAAGCATGGGAAGCTGGAAAGTCTTTAACTTAGCACAAGCACTACTCAGCAACAACTAAAACATCGGTGTGCTCTCAACATCATTCTCATCCTAAATACAAAACACAGCACAGTACCAGCTACCAGGAAGAAAATTAACTCTATCCCAGCTGAAACTACGACAACTTGGAAAAATAAAATGTAGACACAAATATTTTGGGGAAGTTGACAGCTACAGAAATAAAGAAACGTCAACTACAGGGGGAAAAACTAAACTTAATAAAAAGATACTATTATTCTTATTATATTAGTGCAGGTGCTTCGCTAATTAAATAAAAAAAACAGGATGAAGTTGTGTTTAGACTACAATTCCACAGCCATGTCCTAAAATCATTATCAGCTTAAACCCCTTGCACCTCCCCCAGCTCTCCATCCTTCGGGTAAAAGTGTTTGTGGAATTACAAGATGAACTGGACCAGTGAACTGACCTGGATAATCCCCTGGGGATGGAGGGGCGGAGGGAGGGAGGGAGAAATCAGCTCAGAACAGCCCTGTGAGCGCTGACAGGCAGCCGCCATGAACACAGGGCTTGGTTGTCTTGTACATCTACAGGGGAATTACTGAAGCCTTTCTTTAAGTTCTCCACAGTCACGTCAATGGAACGGTACTTCAGCTCACTATTTATAAAAATGGAATGTTAGCAACTCCTCTGGCTCACCTTTATGCTGGCCACATTACATACATTTTATAGACTCTATGTTAAGAACTACCTTTTTTCTACCTCATCACTAGGCATAAAAGAGATGTTGTCTTAGTTTGCATTAGCTATAATGAATTAGAAATCCAAGCAAGCCATTTTGTCGACCAAGTCATGGGGAAAGCCCCATAACCCAGGTCACCTCAGCCTGGCAAGACCAACTCCTTTGTTGTCTTTGTTTGATTTGCACTCAGATGGCAGTGAACAGGGCTTACTGCTGCTGTTGTGAAGAGGACTCAGTGTGATCATGTACGTGCAGCAAGGCTTAACAAAAGTGATTCCCTATCTCAGCCGGGATCAGCAAACACCACTGTAAGTAACAGCAGGTCCCGGTAGTGGCTGTCCCTGCTTAACAGTTGTCTCACTTATAAACCTGCCAGCATGATAACACAGATAAACAGCCATTCTGGTGGTACAGACCTTGCAAGCCCAGACACCACTGTCTTTTAAAAAAAGCAAAAAGCATAGCATTGACAGAATATCTTTTAGCTGAGCAGTAATATGTGCTTTATGATATATCACTGCAAATCAGTACTTTCAAAGACTGCAAAGTGGTTTGTATAGTATCTCAAAAAGTGCCACTGCGTTCCCCAGAAAAATACCTTGGAAAAGGTGAAATGGGCTTCAAGGAGGGGGAATAAACTATTTTACCAAGGGTATTTTAAATCTAGTAATGTGTCTATATGATAGAGAAGCACACATTTTGGCATCTGAGACAAATATCCCACACACCTTAATCCAGACTGACAAACCTCTGCGGCCATTTCTAATAAACTTCACAAAGGTTTAAAGTAATTCCTAAGGCACCAGAGGTAGGACTGAGGTTATTAACAAAGCAACAAACTTTCAGCTGGCACAGTTCCCTAACACACTGCCCCAGGTCAAGTTTGTTGGGTTTTTTTTCAACTCCTTAAAACTGCAAGGGAGTAAAAAGTCACTGAAAACCTGAAGCTTTCAGTTGAGACTTACAAAAAGAAAAATTATTAACAGGAAGAGAAACAGACAAAAAACAACTACTAAAAAAAACCAGACCACATCCAGAAGAGCACAACAAACTTTGTAAATTAAGCTCTGACAATTAAAAAAAAATTAAAAAGCAACACCTTCTTGGAAAAAGTAGCTTGCTGAACATTAGAGAGCATCCCCACACTCGAGTTCTTTCAGTGACTATCCAAGAGAAAAAAAGCCTGATGTATTTTTATGTCTATTCTCCCCTCCTGTGAGTCATAATGGTGGGACTTGATTATCAAAGGGGTTTTAACTTCACCACTAAACTGGCTACACCGGGCATGAATCATTACCCCTTTGAGCATTAAAAACACCGACTCGGAGAAGATACTCATCTTCGGGTTAATCAAGCAATGTGCGCCAGCCCCGAGCAGCAGCACGTAGGAGCCTGTGCCGGCCGCGAAGGGGTTAAAGCTGCCGAGCAGCCGGAGGCAATTGACGGAGCAGAAAGGAACTGACTAAATCGCAGCATGACTTGGAGCTGACGTCAATGTGTATCTTGTTTGGAGTTTAACTTTTCCAGCTCCCTACTGCAACACGATTCCAGGAAATCTAATGACGTCAGCCTTTTGAACTCAATTAGCTGAGGAACAGACCATTTTAACAGTGGAGGAGAAAACAAGCAGGCGTTACAACGCTTAGAATTATTGCTCTCAAATTTATTTACATTCAGGATTTTTTTAATGATGAGAGCACAGGGTTTATTTACACTGCTGAAGCAATGCACACCTTTTCTTTACAGCTAGGCTTAAGCCCACAGCTATCAAATCTGTAGTGTTTATTGCTAAACAGAAAAAAAAAAGCAGCGTCATTTTACAAAACAAGAAGCAACTATAAACATAGTAGCATATATGACTATCTGCACAATACAGAAAAATGCAAAAGAAGACTGGTGGCTTTTTTTCAGCAAAATTCTGCCTCAAGTAGTAAAGACTATTTATCTGAACTGATCTCTTCAAGAACTCATGCACTAACAGTGATTTTTTGGTTTCTTTTTTTTTCCAATTGAAACTATTAAAATTGCCCTGAAGTCCTACGCTAACTAGATAGAAGCTATTTATATGAGTTTTGAGAAATGAAAGAGTTACAGCAACAGGTTCAAAAGAAAAGGTCACAAATACTAACTACATCTGCTTAGACATAGAAAAATACAATGTAAAAGGTGAACAAAATTATTACCTGTTTCATCTCCTGTTACAGCCATGATCAGCTCCTGCACACAGAATTCTCCTGCTCCTCTACCAGAGCCCAGCATGAACTGTTCCAAACTAGCAAGCATGTGCAGGATTACAAGCAAGAGCACTGACATCACAGTGACCTCACTTGCTTACCACTGTCATTAATATGCTCTCTCACTGGAACAGCTCACTGAAACTGCAGCCCAAAGAATTCCTTTTCCAGTAAACTTGTTTTGTTTTTTTTCCTCTTCCATATTTTTACAATCCTAGCTTTGTTCTTTTTCCCTGAATTATTCATAAAGCTACAGAAAGCACTCACCACAACACTGGCTGTAAAGTACAGCCTGAAAATTCACAGCACTGTCTGACAGAAATTAAAATGTGGCTCTAGCACTCATGAATGAATTAAAATGATAAAGCTACGACTGGATAGAAAATAAGGAAATTTTAAACAGACATGCAACTGTTTTCATTGGAGCAGTTCCACTAAAAGGCAGAGAACTCTGTTGGTCAGACATGAGAGACAGGAAAGCTAATAAGCTATAACAAATAGGTAAATGAAAGGCTAGAGCTCCTTTCTTTGTGAGGCTACCAATAAGCCACTCATTTAGTTTCAGTTAAAAGCTTCAGAAAAGATTAAACAATGTTCCAACAAAGTAAGTCAACCTAATGCTAGCGATTTCAGGCAGAACAATGACTCTGGGTAAGGGCTATCTATTCCCCCTTCCCTGCCTTTTCAAAATATATCCAAGAGATCTGGTAGACTTAATTTTAAAAAATAAATTAAAAAAAAAATCAGCTCTAACAGAGTTCCTCCTTACTTATATCAATTTAAATAAGTTTCAGACCAACTGGTCTGCATGTAGGGCATGGCAAATTTCTAAGGTCCTTGTCTGTAATAAATAAATTCAGACTGGTAATTCATCAACTATGAAACTAAGCTGGATGGCAACAGTGGAAGCATCAATGTAAAAAAGGAACATTCTGTGATTACAGGACCACTTCAGGATCATATGAACAGAAGATCAGAACTGAAGCACACAAGAAATTCAAGCCACAGATCTCAAATATCACTGACCATATAATGAAAATACACATAGATCCTAAGAGAATGATTTTTTATACAACTTTTCTATGCTCATTTTCCACTAATAATCAAACACTTTCTTTTTCTTCAGCTAGCAAAAAAACCCTTAACCTGTATTAAGAAACTGTCCAGACATTAGATCTGCCTCTTATTTTGCCTACAAATGTAAATTTGTAGCAAAAGCAGTGTCACTCAGTTGGATCAACACCTTTGGCACTTTTCTCCTAATATGTTTTCCCACCACAGGTTATCAGAAAATATCAAGTACAGGGTTTACGTAATCCATTATTACATGAGATTGATCAACAAATACTTTAGAAAAAAATATCAATACATATGTTATCTGAAAGATTCTGAAACAGATCTTTTCTGCCCTGAGACTGATATTTGTTATATTTTTTATTCCTTTACTTCTATGATTATTACAAAAAAAATTTATGTGCTACCTATCCATAATAATTATAAATTATTACCATATATATAAGTGGGAAGATACTAAGCAGAATGTTTTTTCCTATTATAATCTGTGCTATCACAATATAAGGTGACCATTCAACTACAAAGTGTACATAAATGACAAATATTCATAACTATAATCTTACAGACTTTTTAGCATAGGCAAGATGACCTGTACTAAGGACATTTCAGACACCTGTACATTCGCCTAATTCCATTGTCTCACCCCATCCTGAATAACTCAGGTTTGTTGACTATATACAGCTGCATCACTGTTAACATCCTCAGGTGCTTTCACACTCTTTTTATATACCCCTTTTTAACTAAAGATTTATTATTTTTAACATTTTCCAATATCAATAGCATGTATAGTAACTTCAAGTCTTTTATCTTCTCGTCATATTCAAGGTCATGCTCACGTATTGTTTGGTTTGTACTTTTCGCTGTATATATGTGTAGCACTTCTCTTCTGTGTCAACAGTTACGAGCCTCACTGAAGCACTGGACTTTGAGCCAAAGGAACAGAGAATTCCAGGAAGTCAACTTCTCTGACCATGGACAGAGAACAAATCAATGTCATTAAAGGTATCTAGAAGCTTCCAGAAACATGATATGGCAGGTATTCAGTAGCTGTCTCTCAATCCATTTTGAAGGTTTCTATCCCAGGCAAGACACTTCATGAGCTATTCCAGCTCATCAAGCCCATCACTGAGACTGAGTAGCCCCGTCAAAGGACTACTCTGTAACCAAGAGTCTGTAAAGGAAGGTTGGTCAAATGAAATTCCCAAGGACTGAAATGCTGCCAGATAGAATCCTTAAATTCTGTGTCTCTTCACAGACTTGGGAAGTTTTTGGAAATAGGTGAGGAGTTAGTCTCTCTGCCCTGACCCCAAAGCTCTGAAGAATCAAAGCAATACCTATAAAACACTACAGTCAACCTGGAGAGATGGAGAAGCCTCTGATTTAAGGGATGTATAGGCACATGCATAGAAGATACTCAGAAAAAATGTACTATCAGAGTGAGAAATTTGGTTGCGGGACAGCCAAATTTGGGTCTTAAGGCTCTGCTAAGAATGTATTCATAATAACATTTAGGGATGTTATAACAGTACTCTCTGCACAATAAAAACTAACATTTGGCTAAGGGTTTTTCACATTATAGTCTTAAAACTTTCCTGAAATGCTTCTGAGAAGTCCTGGGACAACGATGTATTACAGCAAAGAATTAACCAGAGGCAATGGAAGAACTCAAATTTCATGCTGCTATTTTGCATTGTCTCAACAAATTCAGATATCTACAAGCTATTATTGTTATTAACACTCTTGGCTACCTTTACAGCAAAGGAAGAGAAACAGCCACCTAAAGACAGAACTTATTTCAAACATCTACAGCAGGTAAAATAAAGCACCTCAACCTGGACTTCACCAACTACCTCAGATATCCGTGCCTACACTTATTTGATGACTTTCATCCACTCCATGAATACATATTTAACACCTTTCTAGCTCTTCTCATAGTTTATTTCAGATAGCTGTTTTGGCTTATAAGAGCATTCATACAGCCCTCTCTTCCTACTTCTGTGTGTCAATAAAATAAAAATTTTTTAAAATCCCCTATATCCTCCACAGCTACTAATTTAGTGACTCCACAGAGAAATCTCTTCTCCATTTTCAAAGGTTTTCATCAGCATTACCCAATTTCCCTGATAATGATAAGAATCCAAGACACCTTTGGTTCTCCTGTTCCCTCAGCATTACCAAAACGCTGAGAATAGTGGAAGGAAAAACATCATGCACAAAATACAGTAAGTCTCAAGAATTCATTATTCACAGTTCAGTTCATGTGTGCATTTTATAGGATCTTCAAAGTGCTCTTCTGTGAGAAAACTAACTTCAGTTAAGGATCTGCACTCTAATAACGACAAGAGTCATAAGTTGCAAGAAAATTCTGCACTAAACATATCCAAAGAACTTCAGAATTTGTTTTTTAATAAGATTAACTGCTGAAAAAATAAGTTAGTTTAATATACTAAGTGAGGTGCACCTTCAGCATCTCACTTCAATCTGTAACAGCAACTATATTCCAATTAAATATATGTCTCAAAAATCTGGACAAGAGAATTCAAAGAGAATTCTAAGCAGAAAGTGATTTTATATTGTTATTTCCTTCTTTTAATCAAAAGTAGTCGCTGCCTTGCTGAGCACAGAACCTGAGTCCCCTCCTAAGACTATCTTTCATCTCGCTATCCATAAGTATTGTATTTAATAGTGCAATAATGTCAACACACTAAAAAACCTTTTAAGAAAAATTGTTTAATATGAAAAAAATTATAAAGCATTGGACTAAAAAAACATACCTTGAACAACAACTTGGCTTCCAGGAACAAAAAACTGTTGTGTGCCATCAGATGTCTGTCCTGCATATTGCACAATGGTAGCACCCGGCTGAGGAGCTCCTGAATTTGTCACTGTCTGGATTGTACCACCTTGAGATATAGTAACTAAACAGAAAAGAAAAAGGTAAGTTAGGCAATAGGAAGAGATAACATATGCCAAAAAGCAAAATTCCCTTTTTGAAATAAACATTGTCTGATAGGACTCCTGGTCCTCTCCTTGCTTAAAGATCAAGTGTACAATAAAACTTAATGTTAATACTGATTTCCACAAATATAAAGCCTGCTTTGTAGTACATGCCATATGTATAACAGATAAAAAGCCACGTTCAACATATTTTATCTACTTCCAGAAATAAGAACTCTCCTAGAATAGTGTTAATATAATTTTTAAAAATAGTAGCTCCTAGCCATATAGAATCATTGTTGTTCTAAACACAAATGTAAAAGTTATTTTAAAAGCTATGTTTATTGCCTCCCACAAAACAAAACTCAGGACATCTAGGCAAAGAAAGAGAAAGTCTTCTGACACTCCTTTCCTTACTGCAAGACAAAGTTTAGCCTAACAATATTTATCCAAGTTGTACAACGTTGTAAAGAGTCCAACATTTAGATAAGAAGAGAAATAGAACAAAGTGGGATTTTTCCATCCATGTAATCAGCAATATGAAAAATACAAATATACTTTCCTCATTAAAAGATCGTATTGTATTCCTTGCCATAATCAAATATTTAGAAAAAATGCAACTCCCTAGAGACATTATTAACTGTATATTCCTTTTGAAATTAGTATTGCCTTTCTTAAAGAGAGAAATATCATAGAATGGTTTGAGTCAGAAGGGACCTTCAAGATCATCTGGTTCCAACTCCCCTGCCATGGGCAGGAGCACCTTCCACTAGACTGGGTTGCTCAGAGCCCCATCCCAGCTGGCCTTGAACACTTACAGGGGTGGGGCATCCACAGCTTCTCTGAGTAACCTGTTCCAGTGCCTCACCACCCCTACAGTGAAGATTTTATCCTAGTATCTAATCTAAATCTATCTTCTCTGTTTAAAACTGTTGTCCTCTCATTCTATCACTACCTTCCCTGACAACGAGTCCCTCCCCATCTTTCCTGTAGGCCCTCTTTAAGTACTGGAAGGCCACTGCAAGGTCTCCCTAGAGCCTTTTCTTCTCTAGGCTAAACAACTCTAGCTCTCTCAGGCTGCCTTTATATGGAAGGCCTCCAGCTCCCAATACCTCCATGGCCCTCTCCTCTGGATCTGCTCAAGCAGGACCACGTCTGTCTTGTGCTGGGTACCCCCAGAGCTGGATGCAATACTCCAGGTGGGGTCTTACCAGAGCAGAGGGGCAGAATCACCTCTCTTGACCTGCTGGCCATGCTGCTTTTGATGCAACCCAGGGTAGGATTGGCTTTCTGGGTCACAAGCACTCATGGCTGGCTCATACCCAGTTTTTCAGCCATCAGCACATCCAAGTCCTTTGTGGCAAAGCTGCTCTCAATCCACTCTTTGCCCAGCCTGTATCCATGTTTAGGATTGCCCCAACCCACATGCAGGACCCTGCACATGGCCTTGTTGGACTTCATGAGGTTTGCACGGGTCCACCTCTCTACTTTGTCAAAGTGTGACCATCCAGTGAATTCCTTATCCACCAAGTGGTCCACCAGCCAAATCCATGTCTCTTATGCTAATTAAAACAATCCTGAAACTTTCAGCTGAGAACCCAATTCCTAAGTAGTAACAAACTCCTTTCTCCTCTAAAAGATATCTAAACTACAAACATCATGATTGTATTTGTGATCTGAGATGCTACAAAAGTCAGATGTAAGTACAGATTAAAGTCAGATTCGGGCTTGCCAACTCCTCTGAATTCACTGTCAGATTCACAGTATTTGATTACATTCTTGAAGGTTGAGCTCTGCTTATCGGATTTATGTGAATTTTGGAGATGGCTGATTTCAAATGTTCTGTTTTAACAAGAATTGAGTACCTTGAAAGTGCAACTTCAGATATAAACACTTCAAAGAGCATTGAGATTGCCAAATCCCAGCAGCTAAATTAGCTTCTTTAGGGCTAAAGGTGGAATTCCTCTCATGCTGAATGAAGTTCAGAGCCATATCTGTAATTCTGGAACAGGGTTCAGCATGGACCTCCAGTCCAGCCTTTGGAATGGGGAACATGCAATGTAGGAGCATCCTAACATGTACTGCACACAGGCTCTGTAAGGCACTAAGGAGTAGTGGAAGGGGGTGGCAGGGTGAAGAGAGCAAGATGTTGCTTTGGTCTGGCCTCTAAAGCAGAAAGTGCCCCATTTGGGGGCAGGGTGAAAGAGAGAGAAGCAAGAGAAGTAAATTGTTGTATTCTCTGTTCTTCAAGAGGTCCAGGACAAGAGCAGCAGGATTTGTCAACTCTACCTCCCAGAGAAGTTACACAGAGCCAAATTCTGCCTCTCAAGAGTTAGCCCCAAAAATGGTATGTCTACACCATCACAGAACCATACTACATAAAACCCAGTCAGTTTGGCTTCCTGAGCAGTAAAACATCAGCACAGAATGATTCAAAGCTCTTCGCTCCACAGTGATTCTGGTTAAACAATTATGTCACATCTGTACTGCAATTATTCATTCAGATCACAATCCAGGACTTTCTAAACAAGAGTGAATTACCTCTAGTAACTGCCTCCCCTACAGGACTGATCCCTGCCATATTCCCAGAACAAAACACTGCCCACCCCCCATTCACTGTCCTGATCTCAACCTCTGCACACACTTCGTTGTGCTGGGGCTCTACTGAAAACTGGGCTTTCTCTCAAGACCATGGGACTTTCCTGGACAGTCCCTGAAGGTTGATGGGTATAAGTAGCATCTTCTAGCCAAGACTGAAGACAATACTAATACCACTGTCTGACTACAATAAACTGCTCTAAACCAGAAAAAAAATCAGATTTTTCCCTCCCTCCCAAAACAGGAAACGGAACTAAAGTTGGTCTTTCCCAAAAGACTTCTTAATTCTCCAGTTGTTAAAATGCTGCCCTAAGACAGCAAGCAACCCAAACAGATGGCAAAAGAACTAATGATTTTCATTTCCCCTGCATCTCTTCAGGCAGATCATCATGATATGCACAAGTAGGCAGGGAGGTGGGGAGGTTGATTCACACACTCCAACTGAACAAACAATTCTTGCACATTAGACCATCACCATAGGTGAGGAAGAAACTATTTTTTTTCAGTATGAAATAACCAACATGACAGAACTACAGCCAACGGAGTAGGTTCATAGTCAAACAAGGCTACAAGGCTCCTACACAAGGCAGTGCCTTGTGCAAAGCCACTCATTCCTCTGACAGAAAGATAACACATATGTTGATAGAGGTAACTGGCAAAGATGTTTTATCTGGTCATGCCTGTCAGTTTGTCTGCTTCCATAAGCCAAAGCCAAGAAGCTCTGAGGAAAAAGATATTTGGAAACCATGGCAACATACCATTTTGGCTGCTAAAAAGTGGAGAACAGCCATCGCTGTTGCTAATGGAAAAAAAATACATTTGTTTTCCAGAAAAATTTACTTATCAAGTTATTCCAAAAATAGTTATCCCAGACATCCAGACACCAACACACAGTCAAAATGATCTTTTCAACTAAACTGCCTTTCCTGAATACAGGAATAGAGAGAACAGTAGAGAAAAAAGGACCAGCAAATGCAGTAACATATGACATCTCTTTTTCAACCAGGGCACACCACAGATGGCCACAGTGACACTGCAAGACCAGTTCTTCATTGCCATGGACACTGTACAAGCTTAATGCATAAACTGCTGGGTGCCTGCACAGGACAGCCTGTGCAAACAATGCTGGCCAGGAAGAGAGGAGTGCTCAGGCATAATAATGATAGGCAGCAGTAAAGAGCTATTGACAGGAGATGTAAAGATAAAGTAGATATGTGTGGTGACCTGCATAATATCCAGTTTAAAAATCAACACACAAGTTGCTGCATTCCCACACAGTGTTCCTGGTTCTAGCTAACAGCAGTTCCTGAGAATCACAGGCAGCCAACAGGAGAGCTCAGAAATGCTCCAGATCTGTGCTTTATACATGTAAGGACTAGAAGTCAACAGTTAAGCTCCTTGGTAAATTCCAAATTTGGACATGCTCTACTACAAGGAAATGATTATCCTTGCTACCACCTGGTACCAATTTTTTCTAAGTAGAATTAGAACACACAGACTTCACTGAAGCAAAAGATGGGTGATAGTTTAACTTACAAAGCTGAACTTAAAAAAAAATCAAATAAATAAACAAATAAATTGGGTCAGAAAAACCACTCCCAGGAAGACAAAGCTCTCAAAATGAAGTTTTGGAGCCAGAAACAAGAGAGTCCATGAAGGCTGACATTGCATCCTGAAGCAATGCCTCATTATGATGAGAACCTTAAATATACAGCACATGTTTTAGGCTACAACTATAGCTCAGTCAAAGAAAAAGTAGCAAAAACCCAGAAATCTTCCAAGCTTAGCTTATAGGCAAGTTTAAATTAAGAGAAATGAAATTTAATGAAATCTTTGTGGATTCTGTTGTTCAAGCACATTGTTACTATTGCTTCTCTGTTGCTTAATTTTCACAAGTAAATGTCTGATTGAACAAGAAAGCAAAAACTGTGAATCTTGTTATTCACTTCCCTATCCCTATGGTTTATGGTTGTGTTCAAACAAAAATACACCCTACTAAGAATCACCTGCTGCAAGACATTGCTAGTCAAAGTACAACTCTGGTTTCCTAGAGGAAACTATGATTAAGAAACCTAAACTCTAAAATTTCTTAGAATCCCAAAGGTTTTCAGGCTCCCTAGATCATAGTGATAGTCTAGCACTTCTTTTTAAGCCTTGAAATGGCAAATATATATGTATTTTTTAAAGTAAACCTAAGCAAAACCAAAAATAATATTAAAAAATTTAAGAAAATAATTTCATTTGGTCATAAATACCTGCCAGATTCTGTACTAGATAACTGTAATTTAGCATGACCATTAGATCACAGAAAAGAACACTTCAGATGCTTGACATCACACAGCAAACATTTATCTATGTCTATAGTTTATAGAAAGGGTAAGAAAAGCACCCTAGGAGCACAAGCAAAATTACTTTTTATGCTGAAAGGATAAATAATATTACAGGCAAATTTTGCCTTCTCAGAGTTAATAATTAGTTGCATAAATTAAAAATAACTGAAGAACTCTAAGGGTGAGTAAAATGCAATTGGAGAGCCAGTCTATCCTCTTTTATATGTCACTGCAATGTTTTAATAGACTTCCTCTGTTTTCTCATTTCAGGAAAAAAACACACCACTTCTTATGCAATCTTCCTGTCATTATATCAAAGGAAAAATACCTGCACTTTAGTGTGTCTACTTATGAAAAGACATGAAAAAACCCTACGAACACTAGGCGTGAAGCTTTATCAAACACATAACTGAAAAAGAGTTATTATAAAGTTAACCCTTAGACAACGTCTGATTAAGCCCAAAGAAGCCATAGAGAGTAAGTTAAACAACACTTTTACCATAAATACAGGAATAAAAATATCCAAAACCAAATCTATAGAACAGAACTGTGAATCTAACTTTTAACTTGCATTTGGATGAAGTATCAAATGTTGGAAATCACAGTTTAGGTTAGTTCTGCAGTTTAAGTGTTCATACATGACAACTGGAGACATAGTTCATTTAAGAACAAAAATTGAAAATTAACAAGTAATTTCATACTCCAACCTTACAATTCAAAAAAGTCTAATTGTCATTTCATATAATAGCACTAATACATAGCAAATCACAGGAGTTTGAAACTGCAATGATTTAAAACACTGACCATTCATATAAAAGTGTCAACGTTTTTCATTTCACCTGAGTTTCACCTCCACATTTTAATGCCCAGAAACTCTAGAAGAACTAAATCTAGTAACTAACAAACATTACAAGAAACAGACTGAAAGTCTATAATGACCATGTGAGGAAAAATTAAATATAATAATTGAAATTACTTAGAAATACAGAAGCTCTTATTCTTTTTCATCAAAATCCAACATCCCTATTTATTATGAAACTCTTACAAAGAAATGTGTGCTATGTATGTTCTGCAACATCACATAGTACATGTGCAAACATACGGTATTGCCCTGTGTTAGTATGATACAGGCTGGTTGGCATGGCCATGGCAGAAATACCAGAAGGAGTTCCTTCATCTTCTGACTTCTCTTCTTCTTCAATCTTTGCTACTGCAGGAGCATCTGATGAGAGTTCATTCAAAATTTTTCTAAAAAAGAATGTAAGTAATTTTATGTATTTGAAAATCCATACCCATAAGAAAACTAAATAACTGGCTTTTATCAGACAGTTTTGCTGTAGTATATAAGCTGCCTTTAAAACCAGCAAAACCAAAATAAAAAGTCCTTACCGGTATGAAGGCCTTCTTGAAAGTATTTCCCTACGTTTTTGGGAATCAATTACCACTTCTGATACTGCAGCTTCATCTGCAATCGATGCTACCTGTAATAGCAAAGTTCCTGAAATTCATAACTTCATTAAAAAGAAAAGATAGCAACAGAAAAAAAATACTATTTTTAAAAATTCCTTCCATGTTTGCATACAGGAAATTTATGCACTTATTTATCACTAATCATGAGATTTCAGACTTTTTTTCCAAAGCAAAGAACAAATTATGAGGTTAGACAGACATAGCCACTTGGTTGACATTTTCCATTTGAAAAAGAAAAAAGTCAGAGTAATCCAGGTTACTTTTTTTGTGATTGACACTTACAAAAAGTATTGAAGATAGACTTCTTTAAATATAACAATATTATACAATTTGATTAGCTTTTAAAGTGAAGTTAAACATGTAAAACACAAAATACTTCACTAATGTGTCTTAAAGAATATATATACAATATAAAAGTCTCTCCACACAACAAAGCTATTTAGAAAATAACTTTATTTAAATGTACACATTTATTACACTTACTAACACATATGCATAAATACAAAGACATTGCTTAGCAATGTTGTGTGAGTTTTAGAAACACCTGACAAGTCCACAATATCTCATTTTTTCAGACTTTTAGTATTAGTATTATCACATCATGTTCTTCTCTTAAAATTACCTAGGACAACATTAAGGCCTGTGGCTAAATCACATTCTTGGCCACTAACTATATTATTACACAGAATTGAAAGTCATTATTGAACAAGGAAAACACACCAATTTCTTGGATTCATTTAACCACTCAGAACTACCAGTGTGTTAAGATTTCCAAACTGAAACACTGTGATAAAAAATCTTTTCACATAAAGACAGACTAGACTGCAGTTTCAGACTAAGCACTGTCTTAAGCACTGAACAAACATGATGTAAGTGACCAGAAGGCTCAGGTGTTTGACCTGGGAGCAGAGGCTGCTCAGGGAAGTCAAGGAATAGTTCTAGAATTAATGCATCTGCCAGGCTTCAGTGCTCAATGCTTGAAAGAAAACCTGCTTGACCTCAACAGAAAATGACTGTCTGGAAGGTTCTGGAAAATTTATAGGTCTGGGTCACCTCAACTCAAACCTGCAGAACTACACCTTGAAGGATTTACAGATTATTGCAGAATAAAATTGCAGAATTGTTCCTTCACTTGTTATTTTTATTAAATGCCATTTCTGTGTAAAAGTATTTGTTGCAGCCTCATTTTGCTGGGTAATATGCAGCAAACATCATCAGATCACTCCATGTCTGCCTCTCTGCCACCTAGAAGGTGAGAGGTACTTCTGCATGTGTACAGATGTTCAGCTCCAAAACCGACATCAGAGCTCAATGGCAGAGATACAGGCGCTTCAAGAAGTCTGTGTTCCTCCTTTTGCAGGATGGACCAATACTGAGAGGCAGAGAGAGGTCCTGAAAGGCATTTCCCTCCCAGTGTGTCTTCAGTGATCCTTCAAAACTAAGACAGTATTGCACAGCCAAGAGCTTGGGCATCCTTACTCAAAACAGAATTTTCATTCTGCTAGGGAGTGGAGGGTAATAAACATCTATTTGCTCCAGCACAAACAGTAGGAAAACAAGACCTTAGTTGCCTTTCAACCTTCACATTAGACTAAAGGTTATTGATAGCCACCCCTAGTTTCTGAAGATGGTTGCAGAAGCTGGGAACAGTCATACTTTGGCAAGAAGGTAAGGAAATCACAAGATGATTTAAGAATTTTCATGTGGAAGAGGACATTTTCTGCAAGAAATCTCAGAAGTTTTACTTTTCATCATGACAAAGAGAGAAACTAACATTTCAGATCATTCTAACAGCAAGCAACCATAGCCACGATGTTAACAAACAGAAACCACTGTCATTTTTCCTGGATGTCATTCAGATTACAACTTTACCTACTTCAACTTTCTTTGCATGGGAACAAATCTAACTTCAAAGTCGCGTTAGTCTGCCAAGACCTAGTACACTACAAGTCAAATAACAATCTGAACTGCAAATCTTCCTACAAATAAAAAAACATTAACAATACAATAAGGAACATTACACAGATAAGCATTTTTTTTCACTCAAAAAGCAGCAGCATTACGAGAAAAATTTTGAACTTTCCGGTTGGGAGCTGCAGGTGTTTGAGGGAGAGGTCACGCAAGCTTCAGCATCAAACTTCAGTATACTTTTTTTTTTATTAAAGTGATATAATTTCCCAAGTCCCCCATTGTCTGGCAGAGAGAAGATATCAAGTAAAAGCCAAATGACCTGGAGGAAATGCCAGATGGCAGGATAAAGGACTGAACAGGAACACAAAAGGGCTGAACACCCTCAGTAATGGAGTCTTTTACATCATCTTCAAGCCCTTCTCACAGAGTGATTTCATTTGCCATTAGCAGCTCAAATGAAACCAAAGCAAAAACCTGGAACTAACTAGTCAGTATTAATTGGGACAAAAGTTTCTTGTTTCTACTCCTTTGGGAAAGGAAAGACAGCCAGAGTTCACTCAATACAACAAATAGTTGACTTTCACTCCCCTAAGACAACACAGCAGCAGCTGGCAAGAGATTCCTGAGAAATTGCTCCTTCTGAGCTTTGAAGAAAGTCCTCTACCTTTGCATGTATATCCTGCCTATACTGAGAATGACTAATATGCTTATCAAATAAAGGTTACTCCGGTAAATTACAGTTAGAAAGAATTCAAATTAAAAAAAAAAAAAGTAATTACTTTGAATACTCTGATTTGACTTCATGTTTGACCAAAACCAAGTCTCTTGACATCTACTGCATGTCTTTCAATAGTGATCTCGAATTCCAAAACCTTACAAGGTTCCATCATCTAGACCTACTGCTCAAAAATAAAATACTCGTTATCTGGCCAAGGTTTTATTCCTTTTCTCTAATATACATCATACTTACATGTGCTTTTTTAGTTATTATATTTGAAAGTTACTAAGAAGTCTCTAACATTATAAACAGCGTCTCAAGAAGACTGCAACATGTTAAAGAAAAGCCACATGTTGCCAATAACCACAGGTAAAACAGTTCCCACATAACAGGTGTACCGCCTCTCTTACCAGAGGTATCAATTCTATTTGCAAAATGCATTTTGGTTGACATTTCCCAATCAGATTTTAACAAAAATAGAGCAAAGGCCTTCATAGCTTACAAGAAAAACACCAATGGAAGACCAAGTCACATTCAAAACACTGTAAATTCATGCTCTCTCTAGTCTTTTTCACTATTTAAAAGCTCTGAAAAGTCTTATACATTTTGCATTGATTCCTGTTTTCTAATACCAGCAACTTGAAACATGTGAACATTTGCCACATAAATGTTTAATTTTGAAGGTGCCTGTATTTTTGGTCTCTACATACCCACATTCACAAAAAGCAATACCTGATGCTACAACAGGCCCTGCTGAAAACAAGGAACCACTTAACTGTATATGTAGTTTCAATACATCCAGACCCTTTGCAAAAATAAGAGATATTTGAAAATTTATGACTTCATAGTCTCATTAGAAACATGATGTTCACAGAATTTAATAAAACAGAAAAACTGCAAGATACAACTAGAGTAAGGCCACGTTATCACACAAATTTGCTGTTGCATAAGTGCAGAGTTCCAAGACACCATTTTTTAGAAGATAAACAGGAAGCATTAAGGAAATGCTACACAATGCTTGTAGAGCTGCTACTGGTTGGATGTTTGCCACCTTTCCCTCCGCTGTTTCCTGTGCCATATGAGTAAATCTTGCAGCACTGGTAGGAATGAAGAGAAACTGAAGATGGATTGGGAAAAGAGTCATGAAGTACCAAATATTCATGAAAATGTAACAATAAAAGAGCTAACCTGAACAGCTTGCATGTGTGGTGACTGAATGACTGAGGGCTGTGTGGCTTGAATGACACCCTGGACATGAACAGTTTGACCAGAAGGCAACTGCACTAGAGTTACAGCTGGAGATCCTCTTCCAGCACTTGAAGCAGCTACAGAAACCTGTAAAAATTACAATCATCATGTTTAAGTAACATGTCTTAAGACTTCAGCAAATGCTTTTAGAAGTGACACTAAAACAAACTGATTTTGTTGCCATATCTAAAATAGCTTAGATGTGTAATAGTTATCACCCACAAAAATTAACAAGTTTTACTAGTCAAAGTTTGGCATGTACCTTTTCAAAGGGTATGGAAAGCTTAAAATTGTTCCCTAACAAATTGCAACTCTTTCTTCTTTTTTTTTCCTCCATAGACGTCTTGTTTTCTTTTCAATTGAAAAAAAAAAAAAAAAACAACCCTAGGCCAACACACACCAAATCTGCTGTTGCTACCATGAAGGTTAGGAAGAACTTCAAGAAATGTAACAAAAAACATGCATATTCACCGAAGTGGTATGTTGCTGCAACAACATAAAGGGCAGAATGTTCTTAGTCAGGAAAAAAAAACAGAACTGCTTCAGTTTTGCTTTCTTTGTTAGGTAAGAAGTTATGCTTTTCAGATGGATGTCTCAAGAGATGAGAATTTTTCAGATAGCAAAAAACCACCCTGTTAAATAAAGCAATCAAGGATTTGTAAATTGATTTAGTTTAACAGACTCTTGTTATATATATATTTATATATCAAGAAAAACAGAGTTGGAGTGTACCAGGGCTTCAAAATACCAACAAAAATAAAGAACAGCTGGATCTTCTTTAAGCCTAGCACAGTTGAAGTGTTCTGTTTAGGAATAATCTGGTCCCTTTTTCTGCTGACATTTTAGAGGACACAGCTTTCCCCGGCCTTTGGTTCTCAACCCTCACTGCTGAGGATGAATGGGTTAAGAAACAGTTTAGCAACTACAGGCTAAGAAATAGCTCAATATTTTTGCTATTAGTGTTAAGTCTATTAACAGAAACAAATGCTGATGGCAAAGGGAAAACAACTACAATTGATCTCAAGTGCTGTGTGATGAAACATCTCTAAACTCAGAAAAGGAAGAGAATTATAAACAAACTATATGATAAAAAGAAATACTGTGGTTTTTAAAGTAAACTGCATTGAAAAGTCTTATTTCTATATCCCACACAATCAACAATAAACCCAGACTCATATATAAAATTCTGATGTTATTCCCTTCCTAGCTTTGTTCTCAGCCCCAAAAGGTATCTGGATTAGTAAAGCTAAAATTGAGATCACAGAATCACAGAATATACTGAGTTGAAAGGGACACACAAGGATCATCGAGTCTAACTCCTGGCCCTGCACAGGACAGCCCCAAGAGTCACACCATGTGCCTGAGAGCATTGTCCAAACGCTTCTTGAACTCAGACAAGCTTGGTGCTGTGACCACTTCTCTGGGGAGGCTGTTCCAGTGACCAACCACACTCTGGATGAAGAACCTTTTTCTAATATCCAACCTAAACCTCCCCTGACACAACTTCAGGCCATTCCCTCAGCTCCTGTCACTGGCCACCACAAAGAAGAGATTGGTGCCTGCCCCTCCTCTTCCCCCATGAGGAAGTTGTAGACTCCGATGTGTGATGAGATGACAGTGAGAAGACAATCATGATGAATGCTGAATATTCAAAAAAAAATTAAAGAAAGTTTTGTATTTTTTCTGTATTCACAATGAAGGGGTTTTTAATTCCAAATATGAAAGAAGTTTTCATTCCTGATCCATAAGCCATAGCTTGCCTGGGAAATATTCCTTTCTTGAAGCAAGTGAAAAATGTTAACTACTATTAAGATGCACTGCTCTGAAAAAGACTTGATGGTGGTTCAAATTATCTTGAAGAAACACTGTTTCTAGGAAACAGAGACAGGATCTTGTCAACAGTCCCCATGCAGTTGTTCAGCGTTAGAGGAACCTGAACTGCTTTTCAAGAAATAGAACAATTTAGGGCATTTCTAACCCTGAAATGGAAACAATCATTCCTTAAGTGGCATGAAATTATATGTAGATAGGACGTGCAAACCTTTTTCCCAATCTGCAGAATAAATATTAATGTTAAGAGAAATTTATCAGAAACACATATTTGAGATTGAGCTCTAGAAAGTCTCAAAGATCTGAAGAGAATAATCTATTTTGTGGCAAAGTTGACATCCTTAACCCAAGCTTCAAGGAGAGAGCACAGAGCAGTCTAAATGTTTACAAAGCATGCCAACTCCCAAAACATTATAAAGGCAATTTCACCAAACCTTTTGACTTACTGATATCTTTGTAAGAGTTCTAATGTGATACAATATTCTGTGTATCAGAAAGAACTTTCTGAGTACAACACATAAAAAAACAGTACAAAGTGAACAGTTTAAGAGTTTCTATTTGTACACAATGAGTTAGGCACACATGATCAGGAAATAATCCAGTACTCAGGATTAAGAAACTACACTAATTTAAAAGCTCCTTAATCAGTATAACCACACAAGAAAAAAAGAAAAAAAAAAAACACACTCAGCTAATCTCTTCTGGACTGAAGTTTACAATACCACAGGAGAAATTGTTCTGTTCCCATTAATTCAGATAACAGATCAAATGAGGGGGGGTAGGGTTGAGATGGCAGTATTATAAAACTTTCATATGTCATATTCTGCATCTCTTTTATTAAATATTAGAAATTATTAAACCCATTTCAATTCACATTTCCTTTTCCAGTTTTCAAGCTGAATATTTTGGTGTTAACTGAAACACTAGAACCTTTTGGTGCTATCATGCGTAAACGCTGACTCAAACAGACTTGGTAAAAAAAAATTCCTTTGTGACATCAGTGATGAGCAATGCCACCTCTACCGTCATTACCTCAAGGGCTGTCTGGCACAGCGACTGAAAACAATCTGCAGAAGCAACTCGGGAACACAGTGGGTGAGGGGAAGCTTAACACATTCTATGCATTCTATGCTCCTAGGCGTGCAACAGTCAAGTCTAACAGCTTCAACAAATACCAGCCCTGCAATCCATAATAGCAGTATGGTACTATACTCCATGTGTTTGGAAATGTAAGTGCTCCCTCTTCCACAGAGAGAAAAGCAGCCAACAAAGAAGATCATACACTACTTTCATATCAAGGCACAAACTCCTGCAGAGAAAGATGTTCCTCATCATTTATCTGACTTCAAGATGCACTGTCCATCTGAACAGTTATTCTGTGGATGTACACGCTCCCTCACACATGGTCAGATAACTTTTCCCTACTGAGAATTAGAGGTTACATTTACCTTCAACCCCTTGTACCTTCAACATTGCCAATACAAAGTAAGCAGTACACAGGTCCATCTGATTTCTGCCCCTGCTATTGAATCTAAACACTGCAAGGACTCTAGAAGTAAAGTGAAAATTCTGGGAAAGGAAAAGTCAAGGCAAACCCATCCTGGATTCATCTAACAGAAGAGCAAAGGACTTGCCACGCTCAGGCACCGAGTACCCTCTACAAGGAAAAGCTGGAGACAGGGAAGTTTTGATCAATTCCAAAGCTGATGCAAAAATAGAAGCACATACTTTTAAGGAAAACAACGTTAGGCTGATTTCAGACATTTAGTGACAGCATACCCTTTGAGGAAGCACAAAATGGTGACAAAGCTGCACATTTATAATCCTCCAACGTCAGCTTTGCTAATGGTCTAGAGTTGCATTTGGCAGACCGGTTTTAGGACCAATTTTTTTAAAGTCTGGCAAACTCTTACAGGGCTCAAACTACTGGGGGCAAGATATAACACAGTTTGATGTTGAGAGCCCACAAGGACAACACCCCTGAAGTGCTAAACCTGAGCAGTCCCAGCTTGCACTGGCTATGCACTCCAGGCTCTGAAAATCTCCCTCTGATCTCTCTGACAGCAGTTCTCGAATTGTAAATCCTGATGTATGTCTAACTTAGGGTCAGCACCAAGAGGTCAACAGATGGTATCTCAGACAAGGACAGCAGACAGCTCTACTGACAGACAACACGACAAAGTTAACAAAAAGTGAATCAAAGAAAAACCATCAACATGTAGGATTAAAAAAAAAAAAACAAACATGACAGAACTGAAAGTATTTTTGTCAAATCTGAAAATGGTCTAAGTACATTGATCTTACATTTTTATAATTATATTTAGTGTAGTGAGCACATGGCAACAGAGAATGCAGTATGGCTTCTAGAAATCCTGCAAAAGGAACATCTAATTTCTCCTTGAATACCATTGCAGATGTAACTGTTCCAAAATATGTTTGGCTATCATCACCACTATAAGAATATTCTAATAAAAAATTAACTTCCTTTTAAGAACAGATCTATATGTATCAACAGAAGATCTGTGCACGTGAGACAACCCATGGAGCCCATCTCTAAACAGGTTGAGAAATTTTCCATCTTGCACCTTTTGCTCTTCCCTGAAAGCATCCCTCAAAAGCATCAACCTTTTGTACAGATGTTCTGTACACTTTCAACAGTTTCTAAAGAAAACCACCAAAGTTTTTAACCAATTAATATTTTCTTACCTATTTCTTTTGGTGGTTGGATCACAAAAGACTATGTCAATTCATTAACTGGCTGAAAGTGATGGATGCAAGAAATTAAACTATAAATGCAATCTTATTCTACATTAAGTCACTTTATTTAAAAAAAATCCTTTAATGGACAGAAAAATGTACCTCATTTTTGCTAGTTTCAAATTTACTCATTTTTGCTTTTGTAGAAAAAGTCATTTTACTTTCATCACCAAAAAATTGCAGGAGTATATAGCAGTATCTATGACACAAGTTAGGAAAACCACACACACACTCTTTTCCCTACTAATAATGTATAATAGCTCCTTCTTAGCATCAGAGGTTATCCCATCACATCATAGTGCTCCAGCCCAGACATTCTTAATGTCTCCTCTGCCTCTCAACAGGGGACACATTAAAAATGCTTCAGCACAAAACAATCTCTGCCCTCTAGAGATGATCATCTTACGGAATACCTGTCCACCTTTTTAAAACTAAATGGCAGGTATTTCTTTAAAAAGCCTGAACTCCAGGGGAGGGAAAAACAAACATGTACACAAAAAACCTCCAAAACAAAACAAAAAACAACAAACAAACAAAATCATCTCCACACCAAAAAAAACCAAAACCAGAAACAAAACCACAAACAAACCGAAAAAGCCCCCCTCCTACCTAGTTGTATCCCCAGCATTTTGCTTGTCATTCCCTGGACAAAGTCATAATAAAACCATTACATTCCACCTGGACATAAAAAACCCCACCCTTTTACTGCAAGAGCAGTCATCTGCTGGTACAGATGCCCAGAGAGATTCTAGAGACTCCATCCTTAGAGATATTTAAAATCCAAGCAGACACAGTCCTTCGCAACTTGCTCTCACTGACCCTGGTTGTGCAGAGAGGTCAGACTAGATAATCCCAAAAGGTCCTTCCAACATCAGCCCTTCTACAATTCTTTGGTAATACAAGAAAACTTCAAATTGAGTATTAAAAGATAGCATATTAAAATGTTTTACTTCTGACTGAAAAGAACCCAGGTTAAACAAACATCTTGCTGAAAAAAACAAACAACAGCCCCAGTCCTCTGTGCCCGTCCCCAAGATATCTGAAAAGGAGCCCTCAGCTTCAGTGATCAGGAATTTTAGCTCTTGGTAAGAATCAAGTCATTCTTTTCTCTGCATGTTTGCAACTAAATTAATAGGAGGGATGGTTGGAAGTTGGCACAAGGTACATTTCAGTCACTTTTAGTGGCTGTCTTCTCTTCACCGCACTCGTCCAGAGGCCAAAGAGGGAGACAGGATCTGTGTCCCTCTGTAACAGTCAAAATACACAGACACTGGACCAGCGGCACAGCCACAAATTCCTCAGGAACACCCCAAGTTTCCCATCTGGTACCACCAGCAAAACCAGTCAGATGTCCCACACAAACCCCTCAACACACACCCCTGACTCTCATCACGACAAAGCACCTCACCTTCCAAGCCAGCCAGATAGGAACATAGACTAAAAAAATCCTACCCATCTTAAGTCAAAGGAATGTCATAACAAGGTAAGTGTTCCACCCAGGCCCGCTTTACCAAAATCAATGCTGTGGCAGTGCAGCCTCAGGGCACTGAGGGGGTGTCAGGGCTGCAGGCCCTGGGAGCCAGTGGCAGCACCAGGTGGCTGAGGAGAGAGGTCTGTCCCTGGAGCCCTCTCAGCTCCACTCCTCTTTGGAGTGGCACAACTGCACCAACCCACTTTTCTGGACAGCACACAAGAGGGATGTCTATGGCTGCCGCTCTGTGCACCAAGCAGCTCTGACAGGTCCAGGAGAGCTCTCTGGGCCGTCTGACCAAAAAAAGGGACTCCAGATGTCAACTCTGGACTGTTAATCTTAACCTTCAAACTCAAGTACATGTTTTGGTTTGGTGCAAGTTGAATGAGATTCATCAATACTTCAGAGTTATTAGTTTTAACTGAAAGAGATGAAGCCCATACCCAATACAGTTGAACCTTCACACACAGTACTCAAGCATTAAAGGCACACAAACATAAAAAGTGTTTTCCTTGGGGACGCAGCAGAAGCTCTCCTACAGCATTAGTGACAGCTTTGTCTCTAGATCAACATTAAAAATCCCAAGTGACAGAATTCACAGGTATCTTCTTCAGACCCTATTGCACAAGCCAATAGATTTTACACATAATTCATCCTATGAAGTTAAAGCACAAAATTTGAACTGAACTACTAAAGAGAGAAGAAATGAGGGGATGACATCAACAGAACAACTCAAAGTTCTTGATTTCATGCTCCACTCTTAAAGAAAAAAAAAAGAAAAAACCCAACAAACAATATTCGCAATGCTGCATAGATCAAAAAAAAATGTTGATAAGTATTTTGCAGTCTTTGTGTCTGAAGATGTGAGAAAAAGAGCAGCTGCCTTCAGTTTTTAAAATATACCTATAATGTAAATCAAGTATCTAACATACCAAATACATGGCATCAAACCTTACAGATTAATAAATTCTGTAAGATGTTTTTTAAAATCGCTTCCTTTATTTCACAAACGGGGTTTGAAGATCCTTTTAAGTGGTTCATAGTTTTCTGGAGCTATAAATCTTAGTAAGGTCAAGAACCTTATTTCTCTCAAGTGTCAAATGTTTCATATTTTAACATGTATATATTTTTAACGTAGAGCAACCATAGAGAACATATGAAGTATGTTTTTAGAACTCCAGTCACTGTCATTGGATACATTAAAAATGTACTTTCAATTAGATGAAATATGTTCTGTACAAAAACTGGAACTAGGAGAAAATCATGGTTGGTTTTATTCATGTTTTCATTTTTGTTATTCATCACATCTTCAAGATACACATTTTAGATGTTTGATCTTCCAGCCACCTCAATTCCTTAGGACCCTCTTCCCATCTCTATAACAAACAATCATCTTGTAAAAGCGAATGGAAAAAAAAAACGTGTCCACCAATCATTCTACTCTGAAAAAGCTGGCTCCTGAAAGCGTCACCTTTTAACAGACCTGATGTTACACTGGTCCTTTGCTAACTACTGCAGGCATAGTTTCCAGTATACCTTTGCTATATTTTTCCTATTTGATAGCAACACTTATAAAACATGAGAATGCCATGCAAATCGATAATTTCAAAATCACTGCAGCTCTGAATATCACTTTATTGATTCTTCTCATCTTTCCACATTTCAGCTTACCTCAGATCCTGAGGAAATCTGACTTCGGCCTGACTGATTCTGAAGGTGACCAGCATTTCCCTCTGTCATAGAATCCACTGCATTGTCATCCTGTTCAACCATTTCCATGGTCATCTGTCTAAAAGTAAATACATACACATTTAAATAATGCAGTACATGGAGGTATATAATGCAGTACATGGAAGAGTGCAATTCCAAACTATTTTATATTTGGAGCAGACAACTAACAGAAAATAAACAAATTTCTGTCAAAACGATCAGATTAACTGAATAATTTCTTTCTGTTCCCCTGCATTAAAATATCAATTCATATAGGTAGGAGCCCTAAAACAAGTATTTTGGAAAGCTGCAAGGAAAGGCAGTTCTGGAAATGGCTGTCAGGGAGGGACAAGCACAGAGTCCCAGGGTCCCATGCATTGTTGCCAGCAGGGCTGGGAGCGCAGTGCTCCAGAGCAGCCCAGCAGCACCACCCACAGCAGGTCCCCCGGACCTCACATCTTGCAATAGGCATGGTTCAAGCTGCCCAGCAGCCACGTGCTGCTACATTCCTCTCAAACCTTCCAAGATGCTGATTCCCAGCTGGAATCTACACTTGAACTGTCTGTAAACTACTCATGGCTCAAGACCCACAATGATTCTTCTAATTTTGCAGGATTAAAAGTAGGGTAAGTTTCATAGGAAAATTAGTAACTTGCTGACCCTCAATTCAAACTAAGAGTTTAAACTCCATACAGAAAGCTTCCAAATGTATCTGCTATATAAAAATGCAATTACCTGACAGTTCCTTTTCGATATCTCTTGGCACACTTAGTCATAACGGAAGGTGTGAATTTTAAAACAAGAGCTCGGTTCTCTTCGTCTCCCTTTCTCTCCTACCAAACCCTGCACTGAAGGTGCAACATTGAACAGGTGATGTCAAACATTGCCATGGCAACAGGTCAGTTTACAAACAGAACAGAGACAGGATAGGGTCAGGCAGAGGCAGGCAGGCCCTCAGGCATGCTCCCACCTACACCCTACTTACACAACCAATTGAGGCCGCAAAAGGAAGACATGGTAGAGATGAGGGATTTAAATTAAGAGGCAGCAAATCTCAATTCCTTGGGTTCTATTACTGTAATTAGGGGATGGCAAGCCTGTCTGAACTCAAAGTTCAACTATTTCAACTGGCTGATAGTTACTTTGGTTTCTTCTCAGGTCTTACACTGAGAGATGGAAAAGGCGGGGAAGGAAAACTGCTACCCATCTGACTCTGAGACTCTGGAATTTAGTCCCACATGTTAAAAGTAACTACACTGAATCAAATTAAATGTAAACCAAGCTCCTTTTGCGGCACTATTTTAGAGAACATTCCAGGATCTTCGAGGATAAATTTTATTGGTTTCTTTGAAAGTCACCCTTTTCGCCCAGAATAAAGGCATGAAAATATGAAAAGATATCCAGTCAAATGATGCAGAGCAGAGTTTGAGCTCATATGCCTCCAATGGTATTCTACTGACCAGACTTACAGTACAGCAGCTAGGGGTAGCCAAGCTGTACACAATTCAACATTTTATAAGTTAACATTAATATTTTTGCCCACATAAGTTTCATATCCTATCCAGTATCAACTCAGATTAGAACCATAAGAAGTTATTTTACACCTAAAATCTTTCTACATTTTTGTCTTGTTAGTTACCACTAATTACCTTTTTCTCTAGATCCAATCAAATTAAGGATCTACTGAAATTCACCAAAGTCAAACAGTTCTGGGGAGAATATTTTCACCAAGCTTCCCACCATATTTTTCCATAAGAAAATATTATCTTATTACATCATTCTGGTTTTATATATACATGCAATGTAACAACAAAAATAAAGTAGGAAAAAAAATTCTTTCTTCGTAAACTAGGGCCATCCATAGAGTCTTAAACATGAAAGCTCTATCTGGTTCATGGTAAGAATGCCTCCATAAGCTTCGTAACAGCTCACACACCAAGGAAGATTAAATAATGCATAGGTACTGGCAACATATTCATTGTAATCTCTTCCTAAAGATGGGAATAAAGTCAGAATTAATTCACTTTATGAAGGCCGTGAAGTATTTTTGTATCCAGAGCCATCTGTCACAGAAAACCTACTGTTGGAGGGGGAAAAAAAAAAAAGAACTTATTATTCCCACTGAACGCATTTCATAGAAATTTTACCTAGAAAGAGCCATTTTTCATCTTGGAAAAAAAAAAAGAATTTAGTTCCTAATTTTAGCTTAATTCCTCACTGATTGTAGAACACTATAAAAATTTATTTATTTTTAATATTTATTAGGATTTTTATCCCAAAGTCTTTTCATCTGCAGTGCTCCAGTAACTGATTTGGTAAATAGCTACGAAAAGAGCATCAGTGCAGCAGAAAATCTAACAAAGCTATTCCTCGTACTCTGCAAAATACAATACAGACAAAAGGGCGTATTTTTTAGATTATTTATGTTTAATTAGAAAAAGAACAGCAAGTACTATACACATCAGTGAAATGACAAATATACCTAAGATTTTTGATATATATGAAAAACTGGAATTCATATAGATTTTCCATTTATAATTGTGTATATGCTGACTCTTAATACAAATGATTGCTTAATTTAAAACTTTAGCAAGGTGGAGTAAAGTCTGCAAATATGACTGCCATAAAATTCAGCTGTTATCCTGGAACACAGCAAAATACTCTTCCTAGATAAGCTCAAACCCATCTCTTTTTGACAACTTCTGCTTGTAAACAGAGACTTGACTAGAAACAGCATTCAAATATAAAGATCCAACTATAGCCTAAAAAAAACCAAAACAAAAATAATGAAGTACACAAGTAATTTTAAAAGATACACTAGTTATCTTGGCATAAACCTTCAATGAGAAAGATGACTAAAGATAAAATGAAGAACATTAGTATCATAATTCAGACATGTTACAAGATTAGGAATGTTAGACAGACACAAGCACAGGGGATCACAAAAGTCGCAGGTCAGTCAGCTGCAGTCATTTGAACCCACAGGGTCAGTCACACAGAGCTGTGTCACCTCATGTGGGCTTGTGCACAGCTCAAGGCCAGGCATGCTAAGGAAATCCTGAAGTGCACAGTCCAGTCTGGATTGTCACCGTCTTTGGAGCACTCCCATAAACTGTCAGATTCCTATAACCTGAATTGCAGAGGGTTTGCATCCTGTATATAATTTTAACATGAATACTCCAAACTGTTTTTAAGAAATACACAGAAAAATACTGAGCGATATCATAATTATGCTTTTTCTAAAACTTAAGTAATACAGACTATGTCACAAAACAGTTTTAAATCCAGTCCAGAAACTACTGACATAAACAGTTTCCACATGTATCACACTCAGTCTACACTGCAAGTAAATTCTAACATATGCATTGCTTTAAGTTTCAAAGAACGAAAAAAAGAATTTTCTGCCAAGCACTAAAAATCCTTTATAAAAGTCTATCAGTAGTAGTATCTACCACGCTTTAAAGTTCACGTTACCTTCTTTCTATTTTAAAGTAAAACTAAACAAACAGTTTTTACATATGTGGTCTTACGTCCTGTTTAAAATTATGTGTTTTTCTTCACTGTGAGATTAATTATATACAAGTTTTAGTCTTATACTCAGTATTAATGCATTATTTTCTTACGTTTTCTACCTTAGTTGCTTACAGTCACTGAACAGTAATTTTAAATATTCATCTGGATTTTTAAATTAATAAGCAAGTTATATCTCTGTACTCCTATAAAAACAGGGCAAAAATGGTTTTCCATAATGTAAGCAAAGACACCTGCTTCTTCCTACAACTTAGCAAAGAAATCTTCAGGATCTGGCACAAAGTTTAACCGCTACCAAAACTTGTAACATTTCAATATATAAGCACATGTTTACTACAGTCACTGAGATGAATGTACAGCAGGTCAGTAGCAGATAAACACTGACTAAGATGATGCACACAGTGCACATCATAAGCTTCTTCAACTGCCATTAGTTGAAGCATCCCTGGCAGGACAAATCTGGCAGGCAGAATCAGCTGGAGGAAAACACTGCCAGGTTTCCTAGAAAATTGGGAGTAATTTACAACTAAAAGTGTGAACATTTTATATTTTTGTCCACAGGTAAAAGATGAAGGATGGCATCTGCATCAAGATACCCTATTCTGTAATAAAGGGCACAAAAAATCCCTTCACTTCCCCCAGTATTGCTGCTTGTTTTCCATCACTGAATATTCATACAAATACTTAACATCTGTTGATGAAATTAAACTGCAAAAACAAATGGGTACAATATTTTGCATATCTGAAAATGTGTGACTGTCTAATTAAATACCCAGAGACATTTTAAAAAACAACTTTTTTATTTCAACCATACTTTATACATGAGAGACTTCTTACAAAGGAGGCTTATTACAAAGAAATTCATAAGGGGCTGAGAAATATGTTTCAGCCCTTGCTCCAAATCACTTTGAAGGCTTTTATTCACAAGGGAGTTACTAGAAAGCAAGGTTGTGAATTTACAAGCACCTTTTTTGCATTTATTGATGACTCCAGTGAGTGTGGAAACTCTCATAATGCACTCGTTTCAGAAGGGCATTATGTTTTCAAGTACGAACTCTAATAACCTGTTTTACTACCCTATGGTGTGAAGCACACCAGCTGGCAAGGTGGTCACGGCGTTCAGCCAGGTAAAACAGACTAGATTTAGCAAGTGTAAACTTTCAGGTTTTTTTATCATCAGAAGCTTCGTCACTAAGTTTCTTGTGTCTCCTAAACTCTCAGTGTTTCCTCATTTTCTTCCCCATCCTGTTCTTCCTTGAAAACCCTAGCAAAACCCTAAAAAGAAAATTTAAAAGCCCAACCTGCCTTTCTTGTGCGCACAAGCAATGCTACCTGTCCACTCTGCATCTGCCACCTCAACCACCCGGACCAGGCAGCGCCGAGCCCGCTGGGAAGAGGACACACGGTCCCCCTTCAGAAGGGTCCAACCAGCCCCTGGATAGGCCAGAGGACCATTCAAGCATCAGTCCCTCTGGAATCACTCAGCACTCAGCACCACGTATGATGTTGCCGCGGCAGTGGGGAATGCAGACAAAACCCTCAAACTTAAGACCTCGGACTCACGGTGCCCACCGTGATCCTCCCCCAGCTGTTCTGCTGACCCAGCTCGGAAAACCCTGTGGGCCAGGATGTAATGGGGTGTAGCGGGCTACGGGGAAACGATACCGGGTATCCCCACTCCGCCTCGGCCGGGTCAGCCCCGCGGAAGCTCCGGGACCGGCCGTCGGGGCGCTCCGCGCCCGCAGCGGGCCAGCACTGCCCCCCGCTCCTCCCGCTCGCCAGCCGAGCCGAGCCAAGCGAGCCGAGCCGCTCCCCAGAGCAAGGGCCGGAGCCGCCCCTGCCAGAGCCCGGCGACACGCGGCTCCGGCCGGTAACGGAGCCGGCGCTCCGCGAGCCTTCCTCTGGAACTCCCAGGACGCGGAGCGGCCTCGGGGCGCCCGGCCCGGAGCGCGGCGCGCTCCCGGCTGCCGGCGCGGCCGCGCTCGGCCGCCTCACTGCGCGCTCCCCGGCGGCGGGGCTGAGCCGAGCGCGCACAGCGCCCCGCTGCCCTGCCTTGCCTTGCCCTTCCCTGCCGTGCCTGCCGCCCGCCCTGCCCTCCGCGCCGCCCGGCGCGCCCGCTGCCCTCCGCGCTGCCCCGCTGCCGGCCGCGGGGGGTCGGGCTGCGCGCACACGTGTTCCCCGCCCCCTCCCGCAACTCACCCGCCGCCCTGTACGTGCTGCCCGTCACAGGGGGTGGGGGGACGGGGACCGGGCGGGCGCGCGTCGGCCTCACGTCAGAGGTGATGCAGCCGCGCCGCCGCGGGGGGCCGCGAGGAAATGGCGTCTGCGGGGGGCCTCCAGCGCAGCGGCCGCGGCGAGAGGGCGGGGCTGCGCGCGGGCGGTGGCCGCGGGGCGCAACGGCCGCCGCGCTTGACCAACCGCGCCGCGGGGCCGCCGCCGGCCGCCGCCCATGCGGCCGGGCGGGACGCGCCCGCGGAGGCGGGCGGGGGGCGGCCCCGCGGCGCCGGGGGCGGGGGCGGCCGGTAACGGCCTGGGCAGGCGCGGTGGCCGCCGCGCTCCCCTCACACCGGCGGTCGCGGTGGCGCGGTGATAGCGGGGGCGTGCCGCCCGCCCGCCGGGCCCTGCCGATAAGGGCGGTTGGCTGGGCCGCTCCTGACCCAGGGAAGGGGCGCAGCGCAACCCCCGGCTGTCCCTGGGCGGTGCTGGAGCGCTGAGGGACGCGGGGACCTGCCCGGGGGCCGCCCCACCGCGCTGATGCCCGCGGCTTGTTTTGTAATTGAGCTTGGTCCTTTACATCAGTCGTTCGTAGTATGACACGGTGTTTTATATTTATTCGGATAAATAAATCAGAAATTGCCGACGAGGAGGGACGTGCGCGTTTCCCCGCTCGCTGCCATGGGATACGTGCGAATGTCATGAGTCATGTCGGGCTGGTGCCGTAGGTGTGAGCACGGCGTGTGCACAGGGCCTGTGTGCTCAAGTTTAATAATATTAAAATGCCATAAGTGCGTGAGCCATAAACTTTGTTAATAGTGGTGTTTTAACATCGTATGTCTTAGTGTTGCTCAGTGTTTTACAAAGTAGTGTAAGAAGGGATTACACTGCAGTATATTTTAAATTACATATCTACGCATCACTGCACTTATATTGTGAAGTTACATAATGTATTTACCATTTACCCTTTTTTTCTTTTTTTCTTTTTTTTTTTACTGTGAGAAACTATTCAGCAGTGTGCTAAATAAACATGAAAACCTAAGTTAATTTGACATAACTCATTGTGATTGAAGAATTGGAGGATGTGTGTGTCAGGATTGGTGATATGTCCGTGCAGGTCAAACACTCAGTCTTATTGATGGTATGAAGAGAACCTGGGTATTGATTTCCTGTGTTTAAAAAAAGCCAAATAACTCTTATATCTGACTTCATAAAAGATGAATCATATTTACTTGCAAAGGTTTTTGCCTTTAAGCATTTATTTCATTAATTTGCTTCACAGAAGTTATTTAGCACAGGTATCAAAATCACAATGTAGTGGAAATAATACAGGATCTTCAGTGTTGCTATTGCTTGTGCAAGTTTTCAGTTTTCATCCTACATTTCCTTTGTTGCAATATTGAACAACACCCCCTTCCTGTTTTGAGTTCTGTTTCCCTCCCTTTGTTTGTTGCATGTATTTTATGTGTCTATTCAGGGTTTTAAATAGGAGTTTCTCTTCCCATGATTAATAACCTTCTGATTTTACAGCTTACCCATTAGAGACACAGTATTGTTATGCTCATTTATTAAAAGATATGCTTTACTAGAAAATCTCTGGTCAATTAGCAAATATTTGTTAGAATGATAAGATAATCAAATGAACAGTCAAGTGTAAAACTACTGAGAATTACTCTGCTGAAACCTTTGGAAGAAATTCCAGCTTTGCCTAGTATAATCAAAAAGCCAAAAGTAGCTTGGGATACTTATAGCACCTCAAAAATGTTTTTGAAGGTAGAAGTCTTATTGCAAACAGGAAGAAATTTCGAATGAGTGTGTTAAATAACGGAAACCACTGGAGTGAGTTACTTATAAACAAGCTGAGAATTTCCATGAACTCTTAAAGCATGAATTTGGAGCAGTTGTTTTTTAGTAGTTTTCAAATCATAAGCAGCTTTGAAATGTTTAACTAAGAATTTACTACTATTTATACCTCTTCTTTCTGATAATTTAATGGAGTGTATTAGAGGAGTGAATGAGCTGCCAGAGGGATTTAGATCTTGGTTATACAAAGATGACTAACCAGCTTTGGCTCTTAATACAGCTTGCTGAACTTGGTGGGCTGCAAGAGGAAGGGAATGAAGTGCCTTTGTGTTTGGGGTACTGTGTTTGTTACCTGAGGCCAGAATGGCCTTTACCACAAAAGCGCTCACTTGAACTAAAACAGTTCTCTTTAAATTGGTATCAATCCCTGATATGAACCCATTTAATTTTGAATGCTAAGACCAGAAGCAATCTGTAAGAAGGCTGCACAGGTCAGGATTCTTTTATGTTGTCATAATTTACATAAGATGGTTCTGAACATAAGTTTGAAAGCCAGGCTCTTTGCTGTTGTCAGAATGACTACCTGAATCATCTTTTCTCTCTAATCTAAAATGTCCAACCTGATGTTATGTCCTGCAAATTCAAGGAAGTATCAATGATTCAGTAGCAATTACTTTTTAATTGAGTTTTCTGGGCTCTGGTGGGCAAAGCCAGAAATATCCTTTCAACCTAGGTCAATTTTGAAGTCTGATCCGCTGCACCATCACGAAGAGAGAAGTACTCCATCAACTGAGGTGGGGTATTAGATGAGCAGGGAGTTGGAGCAACTTCATTTGGCACCAAAAGAAACCTGGTGCTCTTTGCAGAGAGTATAAATATTTCACCAATGCGTATTACATCAGTAATTACTAAATTACTGCTCTGCTAAGGCAGCGCTTTGACTTTTGTGGGTTGCAGAAGCCAGAAGCGCAGGAAGGAACAGCCTTGAGGAATTCCAGGTCTGGCTTAGGGAGAAGTCTGGCCTAAGAGCTGTGAGGCTTTGCACCCCCTCAGCTACCTCTGCTCTGCTTGGTGTCATGTAAATAACAGGATTTCTTTGCTTGGAAGGCTTGAAGGTTTTTATTGGTGAAGGGAGTGTCAAGTACTATACTAAGTCCATTCTTTAAAATATTTTTACTTTGATTTTCTCAGTTTTTAATTATTTAATTTTGGATAAAAATTTGCAGTAATGCTGCAATATTTTACACCCAAAGGATGAAATACATTTCAATGTGGTTTGTTTGTGTTTGATTTGGGTTTTTTTACTTTTTTAGGATTTGTAATAACAAATTGAATTCTATAAATACTAAACAGGTATCACAAGTGATATGCTACTATCCGATATGTCCTGCAATTTGAAAGAAGGGGTACTTACTGGTGCACCAAAACATAACAAAGCAAACCAGAGTGCACTGGCAGTTAAACTTTAATCACATTATTAGTCACTGCTTGAACAACAACACAAAAACCTAAAATGATTTGTGAATGTATAGTTAGATACTTGGTGTGGTGTCTGTAAGTAAAGCTGTATGAGAAGGGAATTGACAGGAATCAGTAGATGATTCCTCATCTACTGGTCCTAGATCAGGACTCCAGAGCTGTTGTCTCCCTACACAGTGGAGCCAGGACAAAGAAAACAGTGGAGAAATTTATAGTTTGACAAATAACTTGACATTCTAGAAATTACTGTGTACTCATTTGTTGCTTATTCATTTCATAAGAGAAATTATTATAGTGGAAAAATAATATTCTGACTAGGTGACAGTGTGAGGTGCATGAAATGTTTTAATGGCTGGTGAGTTCCATATATATGCATGATGGTATTTCTGTTGCAGCAGAAAAAAAGAATGGTGACTAAGATCTACTACATGAAATTTTCTCATTTCCTCTGCTGAATAATGAACTTTCCTTATATAATACTTTGCTCATAACATGAACCTCACATGTACTTAACAGTATTCATAACCCTTTACAATCTGTTACTGTTTGTAGAGATCTTCGAACTTTTCAGGTGAAAAGCACAAGGTTTGTATAAAACATTATTTTGTACTTATAGCATGAATATTATAGCATGAGTAACTGATGTTCTTTACAACCGCTTGAGTTCTATTTAAAATCTAAATACATAAAACTTCATTATTAAAAGTCTTCTGAATAGGCTGTGTTTAAAAAATTCTACACAAAACACAGTTTGTAACCTAATGTGAATACACTGTACCACAGGAATGCGATACCACAAACTGTTTGCATATGCTTGTTCTTTGCAAAAGATGTATCCTGTAAAACAAGGTGAGCCAATGCAGCAATGTGGCTGGCACTAATAACACCCTGAGAAACTGCCTTACACAAAGGTGGATGACAGCAACCATTCAGATAATGCTATAAAAGACAAACACATCTAAAGAGCTCACATTTATTAAAAAATATTCAATGAAAATATGAAAAAATACCAAGAATTATTTGCATTTGGTTAACAGTGTGGCTGTAGACTAGATTTTCTAGCCAGCTGTAGGTTGCTTTCAACGGGGAAGCAGATTTTCTTGTTGGCGGTAGAGGGTTGTAAGCAAGAATACAGAATATAAAATGAAAAGCAAAACTGCTGAATAAATGAAGGTTGCTAGACACAAAGTAAAGATGTCTGGGAACTATAAAGAGAAGGAAGAGATACAAGTGAAAAATGACTAAATGGAATAGTATTGAGTATAACAGAAGATTATTAAGCTATTTGAAGTGTGTTTATTTGACAGAGCTTCTGTATTTCTTTCATGTCAAGAATTGTTAGTTCTTAATCTACCAGTGATACAGATGAATGGCTAAAGCAACACATTTTTCTGAAGAGGATGTATCTTTCATCAAATGCTCAACTAATCTATCTCCTTGATGATGCTATTTTGCCAGCTGGCTTATTTATGAACTGTTTTTTCTTATTCTATTTATCTAGCACTTTTGCAAGTTACAGAAGGTTTTCATCTCCATTAAGTTTGAAAAATGTGTTTTACTGAATTATTTGAGAGACAAATATATGTATTTTTTAAAGTAATTTCTCAGAAAACCCAAGGAAACTGTCAGCGGAATGATGTCTAGTTTAATTTGGAAAATGATGTTTTAGAAATGGGCACTAGACATTTCCTATTTATCATATTTTAGTGAAGATGGATGCTACTTGCTCTTTCCCCCCCTCCCTTTTTTTTTTCTGGAAACAACAGCTTTGCAAATTCAATCATTCAGTCTTGTCTCAAAGCTAAGTTGTGTTGCCTAAAATTCATCATCACTTAGAGCTGTGTAGTCACTGAGTTCAAATGTTTTTCTTTTGTGTGTATATATACCACACACACAGATGTTGAAATGCTGCATACTGGGGTTCACTTTTTTAGTATAGGGGTGGAACCACTCAGGATTTACATGACTGTTTTCTCCAAAGCATTATAAAAGTTGTACAGATAATTGATCTTTAAATACACAATTTTACTTGTCACTAATGTTAGAGAATATTTTTAGCACTATTTTTTTTGGCAAAAAATATAACAAAGAAAGATTACCTAGGTTTGCTCATACAGACAGTTTAACTGCTTAGCTACAATGACATGAGAATAAATTGGTGTCCCTTTTTAATAATGGATGGGGGAAAATGACATTTGCAAATTTTTTTCAAGCAATCTCAGATTCTGGGGAAGGACGGAATAAATTTGGAAGATGAACTAAGCACTTGATGGCTAACTAATAAATATTGTTTGGGAGAGCTCAACTTTTGTTTACTTTCCTATTTCATGAACAAAAAGATGTGGATTTTGTCACTGTAAGTAGTGCAAGTTTAAACTCCTAAACTGCTGTTTTTTATATATCCAGCACTGCCATCTCGTGGCCAGGACTGCAGTGAGCATCCGCTTCCTACCAAGAATTAAAGGGCTTTAAGCAGATAAAATAGCCACACATTTAAAATTCTTCATAAACTTAAAAAAATGAAAGCTACAAGAATAGTACTTTATTACTCTGTATTTTCATAGTCACAAAAGGTACGCTCAGTTTATACTCGTATTTTCACAGAATCACAGAATCTGCCAAGTTGGAAAGGACACACAAGGGTCATCGAGTCCAACTACTCCCCCTTCACAGGACCATCCCCAAAAGTCACACCATGTGCCTGAGAGTATCGTTCAAATGCTTCTTGAACTCAGACAAGCTTGGTGCTGTGAGCACTTTCCTGGGGAGCCTGTTCCAGCACCCAACCACCCTCCGGGTGAAAAACCTTTTCCTGATATCCAACCTACACCTCCCCTGACACAACTCCAGGCCATTCACTCAGCTCCTGTCACTGGTCACCGCAGAGAAGAGATCGGTGTCTGCCCCTCCTCTTCCCCTCACGAGGAAGTTGTAACTGCAATGAGGTCTCCCCTCAATCTCCTCCAGGTGGAACCGCATGAAAGACAAACACCCACAATAATAATCTAGATTAAAAATAGCTGCAATGAAATAAAGGTTCAATCCTGATTTCATTTATCTTGTTTTTAATTCTGTACCAGCATAATACAGTATTAGATGTAGCATAAACATAAAGTAGATAGCTCCCTCCAAAAGAACTTATTACTTAAGAGAAAACAAGTTAATGCAAACAAACAGAAGTATCAGACAAGAGAAAACAAATGCATATAAACAAGAGGGGTAACTCAGGAAATACTGCAATACTGGTGAACAGACTTGATAGCAGATGTAATTATAGAAACATAAAATTTGCGTATGTGGTGGCAAAGTTTTAAGGTGGCATATTCATGTAGTACAGACAATCCTGTATTATTCGCTACTGTAATCAACAATTGATAAAGAACTGATAGAAAGTTACTGAGAAGAAATGGACTTGTCCATAGGATCATCCTACAAAAACTTCCAGAATTTCCATCTGTCACCCATCTATGACTGCTAGCTACAGCTACTGAAAGACAACACTGGGCTCTGGTCAAGCAGGATTTAAAGTAGGTGTTCACGTTTGCCGTCATCAAGAAATGCATCAAGACATGGCTAAGGTAGCTGAGCACTCCATTGATTGGTTAAGCTTTGTCAAATGGCAACTTTCTTCACTGGCATTCTTGGGCACAGCGGGTTAATTCCCCTCATCAGCAGCTGGGCTTCAGCAAGTAGGAGCAGCCCCACCACAGAGCTAACAAACACAACTAAACTCACTGCTGCTAAATCATGTATGCACTCATGTAAAGCATTGGTGAACACACCCAAGTTTTAGTCTTGCTCTTGGCAGATAGATTAGAATTATTTCTTAATGGACTGTAGGAGAACCTCTCTGTTCTTTTGGAAATGCAGGCAGCACTGTGGGAGTGACAGGCTGACCTAGGCAGCACACACAGTAATGCTCACAGCTTGCTCATCTCAGACTCCTGCAATATCCTGTTCTGTATTTTCCCTTGGTAATTCTCTGGCCAAGCTTGACAAAGAAACTTGAAACAAAGAACATTCAGATTTTATGAAGTTTTTGGACTTAGAAATTGTTATTTCCTAAATACATTTGAACCCAAGAACAATTTTTAAATACCTTACATAAAAAGCAATAATGAATGTTCATGTTCTTCCTCCTAATCATGATTACCTCATCTGCAGTCTTACAGAACAGAGTTTGCAGAATAGTTAAGGACTCAGTATCTAATGTAGTCTGTGGGATTTGTGAATATTCATAATTTCAGAAAATCAGCACATGAGTCTCCCATGATGAACACACAGAATTATTAGCTTTGAAAATACCTCCCTTCCCATATCTATGTTTCCAGTTCTCAACAGTTAACATAGGACAGGACTTCTTCATATAACAGAAATTTAGAAAATATGTGCTGTGTAATGGTTGAGTAGTGTACAGATAAGGATGTTTTTCATTAACTGCTGTCTAGCTTGTGTTATCTGATATGATCTTGTACAATTAATACATTCACACAGCATGGTTAAATAGCATAATTTAATTGTGCCAGCATATATCTTAACTTCTAAGAGTTTAACTCGCAAGCTTGTGGCTAACACTGCCACTAAAAAAGAGCCTTCAGTCCTACAAAAGGGTGAAAGTGCTGCAGATACAAACCAATGATTGCAGAAAATAACAAACAATCAGAAGCTGAAAGTTACAGCCTCCCTTCTCCCAGCAAACAGAAGTGAATCGAACCAGCAGAATAGAAAAAGAAAAGGCTTTAGGCCGAAAACAGAGGAAGTTGCAAGAGTTTAAAATGTCTAGAAAGAGTTAATAAAAATAATTTAAAAAGAAAAAAAAAAAGCAAAAGCATTAAGGCTTAATGAAAAAGCTGTAAGTACTGGAAATGAAATGGGCAAGGGCTTGAATTGAAAACAGGAAAATTGATTATTTTTACTCGAGTTTTGAGTAATTTGATAAACACAGTTTTCCGAAACAAGTATCTGTTTACCAGAGAACCATGTCTCTGTAGATACGTGCACTACATGTTGCAAATGCATCCTTTTCTTAGCTTTTTTTTAAAAAAAAGAACTAATATTTTTAGTTGGGAGTGCTCTCTGAGCGGCAGGTCCGCGTTTAGTCCCGGCTCAGCGCCTGATGTCTGCACTGCTACGTGAGCCCGAACCTGGGCGAGCTCTGGGCTCCCACAGCGCGCCGGGCACCGAACACCTTCAGCTACTTAGTCTCCAGAGCGACTTCACTTTGTTACTCCGAGTGAACAACTTTGCATTACCCTTTTCCGCCAGGAACTCCAAGGGGGGGCGGGTGCCCTGCTAAGCCGGCCAGGCTGGGCGGCGCACCTCCTCTCGCACCTCCAGCACGTGGTGGGAGAGGGGGAAATTCCCCGCTGGGAGCCGGCGGCGGGACGGGGACATCCCCACCTTCTGGGGAAACAGCTTCACGCAGGCCCCGGGAGCCCCGCGCCCGGGTAAGGGCCCCCTCCCATCCTGCGTCCCGCCGGGTCCGCCGGCCGCCCTCCTGGACTCCATGTCGGGAGCGGTTCCCCCCAGTGGAGAAGGAGCGGCGACGTGCGCCGGAACACCCGCCGCCGGGAAGTGGCGGCCGCCCCGCGCTCCGCGTACAGCGCGGGCCGTACCAAGCCGCGCTGTCGGCGCGGGGGGGGCCGGGTTCGGGAGGTGCCGGAACACCGGGACCCTCTGGCCCCAGCCTCCCGCAGCCGGCGGGAAGAGCGCGGCGAGCACAGCCGGGGGCGGCAGGCGGCGGCGCGGAGGGCGAGGCGGCGGCGCGACGGCCGCAGCTCCGAGCGGGGCCGCGGGCCGCGCCCCCGGCCCGGCAGTGGCGGCGCCGGCGGTAGGGGCGGGGCGCGGGCGGCTTTTGGGTAATGGGCAGCCTGTGAGGACGGAGCGGGGCAGCGACCGCGGCCGAGGCAGGAGCGAGGAGGCCGGGCGGGGGTCGCTGATCGGGCCCCGGGCCGCCAGGTAATGCCTTGCCCGGCCCAGCCGCCTCGGCCCGCCGCGCTAAGGGGAGGGAGCGCGCGCGCTCGGGGCGAGGCGGCTCCGACCCCCGCCGGGTGTGCGCGGGCGGGATCGGGCCCCCGTACCGTCCGGCCCGCGCTCCCCGCCCCAGGCCCGGCCGCGTTCTGTGGCAGCGCCGCGCGCCTGCCCCGGGTCCTGCCCTTGCCCCGCGGGAGGGCGCGGCGCGGCCTCTCTGGCGGGGCCGGTCATTATTATGTCCTGGCGGCATCCTCGGCCGGTTTCGCTTTTGTTTTGGAGGGGGAAGGAGGTGGGGAGCGAACGGCTGGGTCCGGGGAGCGGGGCACGGGGGCGAGGGCAGGCAGAGCTGGTCACCTGTTGGAGGCCAGTGCTCCCGCCCTTGGCTGTGCACCCACCGCTGGCTTGTAATTTATCGAGGTGGTTCAATAGGTTGGAAATTTGGAGAATGCTTTGATGCTGGGGGAAACTACATTTGTTTGAACGAATATGTGTCGTTTGACACTGGTATGTTTTAAAAGATGAGGCGATAGAAGCAACATCTTTTCATTATTCTCATGTGTAAATACGTTTCAGCAATATCTGCTTACCTTAGGGCTTGTCAAACAGGTATGGTTTCCCACCCCCTGAATAGTATAAACCCTAGGGTAGATATTCTGCCCTACCATAATTCTTACTATGGAGGTTTATTTGCATCAGTACAAGACATTTAATATTCTAAGCTGGTGAGCTTGCACAATGCAGACACCAAAGCACAGCAAACCTCAAAACCCCACCATCTTACAGGAAAGTTTTACTACATTTAGTAGTGTGTCTGTAAAACACATTTAAATTCATATTGGTGTGAAAGCTGTGAGAGACTGCAAAACAACAGTCAGCTTTATCTTAACTCTAGAATACTTTGTTGACTGTGTGAATGCTTTACATGTTATTAGGTTTTGGTGATACTGAACACAAGTTTACTGATTCTGTGTGATGTACTGTGGGTAGGACTTTTTCTTCACCCTTCCTTCCTCCCCAGGGTTTTGCTTATCTGTGAAGAAAAGGTTCTTTTACCTTGGAGGTACCACATGTGTTTCCAAGACAGTGACCTATAATGTAACACTCAATTATGTACAACTTCATTACCACAAGCACTTCTTATGATTGTTAATTTTGTTTGTGGACCATGATTTTTTTTTTTTTTTGGGGGGTATCAGCTTGTGTTTTCCAGAATAATGGTATTAGAGCTCTTTGAAGACTACCACTTTCTCCCTTACCCCCTTTTTTTCAGTTCTCACTGATTTTCTGTGAAGTAAGCTGCTACTGACATCCCGGGCTTGAAGTAATAACCATGTTGCAAATATAACAACATTAACAGCAGTTGAGGAGCTTGGTTAGTTAGTCGAGGGGGTGTTTTGTATGCATGCAGGGTAAAAGTTACATCTGATTTTATTGTATTTTTTCTTAGACAGAGAAGTTCTTTACCCTGCAAGAGCCAGCAGTGATTAAGGTAGTAAGTTAGTTGCTAAATGGTTTTGTAGCATGACATTTGATTCTTTCCCTTATAGAGGTCTGCCTCTTGTGTTCAAAGTCTGCTTGTCACAAGCCTTCTGTTTTCCCTTCTGACCTTGAAGATTTGGGAAGACAAGAATTACTTGTTCATGTATTTAAAATGAAAGAAGAAATATTCTTTCCATGTTTTATTTTAGTCTTACAATGTCATGTTTCTGAGCAGGAACTAGACTTGTTTTGTGCGTGGAATGTCACACATCAGGTCCTTTCTAGATTAGGTGCATAGGACAGAGACTAGTGGAAACAAAGAAGAGGCCTTCACAGTTGTCTCTTTTTCTTTTTAAATCACCTTACTTTTTCCCTGGTTTTATTTCGATAATTTAATGTTGAGGGTTTCTTTTTCCAGTAAATCTCTTCCAGTATTTTTTATATGAAATTATTAACACAGCTTCTGTATTTTGAAGCCATGTCTTTGAAAGATTTCAGGATTTGTCCTACTGCATAGTGCAGCAAACTGCACAAGCTCTACATATTGCTCTGTGTTTAGAAATGTTGTCTTTTTGCCATCCTGATCAAAGCTTTGAGATTTTGTGGCTTTTTAAATGTAGCACCAAAAATGTCTCATGAAAACCTGAGGTGAATGTAGGCTAAAAACTGACAGTAGTAACTTCAGATACTCTGGTAATAGTTCAGTGTGTTCCTGCCCAAAATTTGCTCAGATACAGCTTAAACAGGCTTTGCATATCAGTGAACAAATAAGAATTTACCGGAGAGTTGTTATCTTCATATAGCACTGTTAAATGGACAGCTTGGTGAGACAATGAACTTCATGAGGCGTGATGTTGTTAGATTAATTGGTGTTATGTTGTAGGCTACTTGTGCAAGATGAATGTTTCATTCCATTATATTAAAACCAAGAGTTCGTGAGCTTAATTTTGGAGGGTGGGGAAGCAGGGGTGGGTGTTCGCGTTGCTCTGTCATGGTGGTGCAACACTGTGCAAAGTTTAAATTGAAAAATTTAAAGGAAATGCATGTATTTTTTAATGATTGTGCAATGTTGTCTGACAAGTTTAATTCTTCTACAGATTAACACTAAAGCCCCACAATGTCCTTGAAACCACGAGTAGTTGACTTTGATGAAACATGGAACAAACTTCTAACGACGATTAAAGCTGTTGTTATGTTGGATTATGTTGAAAGAGCAACGTGGAATGATCGCTTCTCGTATCCTTTAAGTGAAAAATCTGACTTAATGTGTTCAAATGATGTATTTAGCACAGAGGAAGCCCGTGTTACACAACAATTTCAGTGATCTTGATCAGAAGCTTGTTGTAAGGCTGTACCTGTTATTAAGCCTGAAGATCAGTGGATATGTTGAAAGGGATGGAAAATTCTGTGTATTTGGGAAGTATTCTATGTGAAAGTCACCATATTGACAAAAAGTCTCAGTTTTAGTCACTTTTAGTAACTCTGTTACTTAGCTTATGCTATAACTGTTCACAAAAGTGCAGGCCTTGAGTGTCCCCTATTCTGATAATGAGGTTTTCTTGTTTGTTTAAATGTGTATGTGGCAGGGGAAACACCAAGGGCAGAGAATGCACATCTTTAAACTTGCGGTGCGGGGAATAGCGAGGTTTTTCTGTGTACAGATTTCTGCCTTTCCTTTGCACTTCTGTCTGTACTGGTGTCTAGCATATTAGACATTTTTATAGCAAGGGTTTATTAAAAAGTCTTCTTTCTTTCCCTCCACTATCATAACCTCTCTGTTCTTTACAGTTAAGTCATGGTTAAAAATAATTACTCTTTCTGTGATCAAATGGTCTTGCCGTTCAAGTCAGAGCTGTATATATATCGTTGTAGTGAAAGGTTTGCATTTTATCTGTAAAATGGACTTGTAATTTTTTACAAGGTTTAAGTTGCAGTTAACTTCTTTTAAAATAAGTTCTAACTGTTCTAACCAGTTATACTGTGCTCTGTGTCTATGTATTCATTAGCCATTACAGTGTGGTGAATAATTAGACAATTTTAGGAGGCTTTGCACCTGTTCTGCAGCAATTATACAGAGTTTGGTTTAATTATAAGGGGGAAGAATGGTTTAGACTTATTTATTGATTTGTTAATTCTTGTGGGTGAAAAAAGAAGCTCCTGAGAAGATTCTTATGTGTGGATTTTTACAACACAAGCTTATTCTGCATGCAGAATCTTGACTCTAAAGTCTCTTCTTGTTCTGAACCTGTTACCCTTTCTCAGAATTGCTTTCCCATGTGCCTGTGTTTTGACTGTGTACATGTGTATACTTAAATGGAAAATTTAGTTGCTTGTGGACCCTTATTGTGGTGCAATAATCTTTAAGGAGCTCTTTCATATTAAAACTTGGTAATTAGTTTCTGGGGACATGACTCGTCACCTTGTCTTGGAGTCAAGTTCAAGTGACTCCAGAATTTTCAGACGTTTTGAACTAATTAGTTGTGTGCTTATGTGCTGACAAGTTGAGCTACAGTCATTCTTTCTAAGCAGTTTTTGAGGGTTTAATATTTCAGTCTTCAACAAGTGGTTAAATTCTGTAGCTTAAAATTCTAAACATTTAGACAAGGGCACCTAAAATAGATTTAAATATAAAATAATAATTGTTGCATGAGATGTTGAATTGATTCCTCGTCACACTGTTTCACTTAGAACTTCTTATGTGGAGACCTTGTACACAAGTCTGCTGTTGATCCTCTTTTGGGATTTACTGCAGTTGATTGAACATCAGAAAAGGAATGCTTACGAATAGCGGACTCAGGAAGCAGTCTTGGAAGAATCATTAGGCATGTAATTCTTAAGACCTTACTTACTATCATCTCTTAATTATGGTCCTTGGAAAGTGGTACTATTAGTGCCTGATTTGGCACAGGCATGACCTTTTTGGCTTATTGTCTATGGCTGAGTGGCCTGAGGAGTTTGTGTGACTTGTAACTTCCAGCTTGAATGTTGATTGTTTAGTACTTCTGCTTCCTGTAACCAAACTCTGTGTTTTAACACAAACTGCTCGCTGGGTATTCAACAACTGGGTGAAAGTGGTAGTTCTGTACAGCTGGTGTGAAAGCTTTTTCCAGGCTTTATATATAAAGAGAACTAAAGTCTTGATGATATATTTTAAGTAGATTTACCCTTTAAAAAATATGTCATCTTGTTCTTTGTTAACTTCTTATTCTCAGTTAAATTCAATATCATTGGAGTAATCTGTTTCTAGACACCTACAGAGGTTTTAAGGGAAATGTCATATGAACTCTATTTTTCAGATTGCTTAATAAGCACAGTTTAAATAATCTGTCCCAGATTATTTGAATTGTGTTTTAAGGAAACTCAGACAGGTTACTTCGTTGATTATGGTATCAATTGATCTTGTACTGTATAGTTGAAACAATAATGTGGAAACAAAGGCTAAGCTACAGCAAAGAATCAGTTTTCATCTGTAGCAATGTGTTCTACAAAGTGTTTGCTTTCTCTTGTGCTGCTTGAGACAGCTGAGATCAAATTGAGTATGGAGGCTAATAGTATTTGAGGGATGAGAGGCTTGTACTGTGCATATTTCACTTCTAGAACTAATTTTTGCCCCATTAGTTCCCCAGAACTTGTTTGTCTTGAATATAGTGTTTCCTTTGTAACTTATGGTAATTTTATTGCTAAAGGTAGCTTATTTTTAAATAAATCCTTTATCTCAAACTTGAAATTCTTTAATGGCAATGAGCTGGGAACCACAACTGTGTAAGAGTTAAAATCTTCTGGAAAAGATCACTTGAAAGACAATATGTCACTTTATTTAAACAGTGAGTCATCTTGAGACACCTTTGACCTTCAGATTTCCTTTAAGGTTCTCAGCAGAAAGAATTGTGTATGGAGTTGTTTCATTGTCTGGAAAAGGAGTGACAGTTATGTCTCTCTTTGAGATGTTATTTACAATAATTTGGTTATTGTGAATATGTTGTATAACTTTCTAGACTTTGCTGCTAACTGTTCAGTAGACCTGCTCTTTAAGTTAAGAGGCTACTCAACCTTGATTAGAGTGGTAGGTAGTTCATCTGTGCTTTGATAACTACTTTTTACTTAGAACTTTTGCAAACAGGTAGAACATCAGGCTCTTCCTGTTGTTGTCTTGGATTTTCCACCACCAAATAAATAAGATGGACAGTACCCAGGGAGGATGGTAGCTGTACTGCAAATAGAATTATTTTAAAAGTATGCAGCATCACCACCGGCTTTTTTTTTTTCATTTCTCTGCATGTTTGTTCTTCTTCCTCTTAATTCTCTGTTTTACAAGGATTCTATGATAAACCAGAAACTTAAACATGTGTCTTTAACAAAACAATCAGCCCAAAGGGAAGGAAGAGTAAATAAAGTTCACATAATCACAATTCTTTCTGATTATGAGTCCTCAAGTCCTCTGTGAATTTTGATTCTGTTATGGAAGAAGACCAACAATTGAAAATTTACCCAAAGCTCTGAGTTGGTCTTCTAGAAAAGATCTATTCAAAACCTTCTGTTGATATAGGGTCTTACCTAGATGCTTTTTTAACCCTGAGTTCAGTATTTGTGAGCTTTTATGGCTGTGGATATAGTATTTTCTGATTGATAGTAGTTTTGTTGTTCTTTCTTAGTTTGGAAGTGCTTAGGTTTGGGTAATGCCTTGCAAATAACAACAGCCAAAGGACTTAAATCACATAAGGCTTTTGATGTTCTTGTTCTCAGCACAGAGTGAAGGCCCTTAAGCAGCAGTTTGGCTTCAGCTTCCTTTCTCACCCTCCAAAACTCCGTGCTGAACTGGAAGGACAGATGGCTTTCACCATTAAAGCTAAATTATTGAACAGTAAAGGCTTCTTCCTGATCTTCTAAGGAACGGCAGCACAGGAAAAATGTGCTTTAAGTGTATGGAGTAAAATGCCAGTGATGATTAATGATTCATCTCCCCTCAGAGGTTATTTTTTTTAAGAGATTCACAACATTTTGGACATAACACTCAAGTTTGGATTCTGGACTGAAAGACAGATAAAGGAACCAGTACAAATAGAGCAAGAATGTAACAAAGCTACTCTGTAATGTGTATTTCAGTCTCATGATACCTTTTTAGCAATTCAGAAAAGCTTAGTGCCCCAGCAAGTAGCATTTGGTGTTGCTTTTTAGTGTTTGGTGGATACAGGAAAAGGTGTGAGTTGCCTGTTAAGTGTTTCTGTGATTAGGCTCATAGTTTGCATACCTGCTGAAATGAAACAGAGTAGCATATGTCAAGGAGGAATAATAGATTCAGCTTTCTTTGCTTGCAAGAAAATTTTTTCTCTAGAGTAAGGAAAGGCGTGTTTGGAAGATGTGCATTTTCATGAAGGAGTACAGATATTATTTTCATACTTAAATAGGATTACTGCAACTAAGAAGCTTGTTTACAACAGTCAAGTCATCCAGACTTCTAACAGAAGCCTAGGGCACAGAGGCTAGATTAATTCAGAGATATTTGTTTGCTGCTTTCAAATAAACTTCTGTTACTATTTTCTTGTGCTGTTTGGGTGAAGACTGCATCTTTTCTCTAAATTTGAAGTACATTGTTTTTGTAGTAGAGATCCGTTATAGTTTTGGTGATTCAGATAATGTAGTTGTGGATCTAAAGAGAAAAAAGTCAAGTTCCCTTTGCTTGTGAGTAGCTTACAAAGATTTCTAATTCTGGAGTTTATTTTCTCAAAGATATCTTTGCATAGTGAAGAGGCTTGTGGTCTGAATTGTGTTGAGGATGCATTTGACTACCAGCCATCCTTAGACTGAGAAAATTTCTTGGAGAGGGGAAAGTGTAAAAAACAATTGTTCTTTATAATGTCTTTAAAAAAAATTTCATTCTTCGCTATTAATTTAATAGGGGTTTTTATATTTTATTGGTTACAGCTTTGTAAGCTATTGCAGTGCAATGCTGGGGTTTTCATTTAATACTTCTTGCCTTTCCAAGAAGAATTCTGATAAAGATGATCTATATGGGTGAAATAACTGTACACAAGATTAGATTCTGGTGGGGCTCTCCGAGATTCCAGTTGCCCAATGAAGGGGTTTTTTTTTGATTAGTTATCTTACATCAGTATCTTACATCAGGCCAACAAGGCTGATATCCTGGTGGGAGTCTGTTGTAGATCACCCAGTCAAGATTATGAGGGTGATGAATTATTCTACAAGCAGCTGGTGGATGTCTCAAAATCACCAGCCCTTGTTCTCGTGGGTGACTTTAACCTGCCAGATGTCTGCTGGGAACTCCACACAACAGAGAAGAGGCAGTCTAGGAGATTCCTGGAGTGTTTAGAGGATAATTTCCTGCTCCACCTGGTAAATGAGCCTACCAGGGTGGAGCACCACTAGACCTGCTGTTCACAGAGAGGGGCTGGTGGGAGATGTGGTGGTTGGTGGACGTCTGGGACACAGTGATCATGAAATAAAAGAGTTTTCAATACTCAGGGATGCAAGGAGGGCCATCAATAAAACCTCTACGTTGGACTTCGGAGGGCAGATTTCGGCCTATTCAGAAGACTAGTCCAGAGTGTACCTGGGGAAAAACCCTTGAAAACAAAGGGGTCCAGGAGGGATGGACGTATTTCAAGAAGCAAGTTTTGAAAGCACAGGAGCAGGCTGTCCCAGTGTGCCGAAAGGCAAGCCGGCGGGGAAGACGACCGGTCTGGCTGAACAGGGAGACATTGAAAGAAACCAGGGTAAAGAAGAGAGCCTCCTGATTATGGAAGAAAGGGCTGACTACTCAGGAAGAATTCAGAAATATAGTCAGGTCGTGTAGAAAGAAAATTAGAGAGACGAAGGCACAACTTGAACTGAATCTCGCCACCTCTGTGAAGGATAACAAAAAGTCCTTCTACAGATACATCAA